GGGGGGCCCCCATTCTGATGGAGCCCAAGGCCTGCCAGGGGAGAGGCTGGGGCTGCGTGCCCTGCAGCTGGTGACCCCCTCTGGTCCAGCACCGTCACCTGTAGGACCTCAGGGTTTCCAGGGCCCATGAGTGGGAATCCTGGGCAGAGGCCCAGGGGTCCGTTTTTAGAATGTGTTTGTTAACAAACACTTTTATTGAGGTGAAATTCACACCTGTAAAATTTACCATCCTACAGTGAACGACACAGCTGCACTCAGCATGTTTGCCATGTCATGCAGCCACCCTGTCTAGTTCGAGGATGTCCGGACCCCCGTCCCCACAAGCAGGCCTCCCCACCCCTCCCAGCCCCTCACAACCACAAATCCACATTGTGTCTGTGCATCTGCCTGTTCTGGGCATTTCCTGTGAATGGACGCACCCCTGTGTGTTCCTGTGTGTCTGCATCTCTCCCTGAGCACTGTGCGTTCAGGTCCACTTGCACTGTGTGCGTGTCAGGGTCCCCTCCTCTTCAGGGCTGAGTAATATTCCCACGTGCGCATGGACCACATTGTATCCATCCACCCACTGATGGTTACTAAGCCCTCCAGGACATTGCAAGTCTCCCTGGGCTTTGAGAACCACAGATCGTGGGGTGGCCAGCCCCAGAACTGCACTGCCTGTGGGGAGCAAGCCATCCCCCACCCCCAGACCACAACACTCCTATAGGAATAGCACCAGACCCTCGTGTGTGTGTGTGTGTGTGTGTGTGTGTATGCGTGCGCATGCATTTCCCAGATTCCACATTAACAGAGGTGAAAATGTGATAAAAGCTCATTTTACTCCTATATGTTATTTGACTCATCACTGACAACGTATTCCCCACCCAGCTGTGCCCACCGTAGGGATCAGTGACATGCTGTGCAACCTCATGCAGCCTAAGTGTGAATCCGGCATGCGTTGCCCCCGGAGGGCACCTCTCAGCTGGATGGAGTCCCATGCACACGTTGGGCACCTCCCGGGGGCCGTCTGCATCTGCCAGGAAAGCCCCTGAACCCACCTGCCCACCCCACTCTGCCCATCCTGATGTCAGGGTCTTACCTGGGTGAGGGTCGCGTTCCGCGTGAGGCTGACAGCCCTGCCTGGCTCTCTCGTGTCCGGCTGGGAGCCTCTCTGACCCTAGCCTCCTCTCTCTGTCTTCTCTTCTCAGCTGTGCTGGAGGAAGTGTCCCCAAAGAGAAACCAAACCCTCTTTTTCCTATTCATTCAGCTTTTTATAGTGTCGGGTGAGGCCCCACCCCTAAAACCAAGACCCAGTGAGGGTTGGATGTAGCTTATGACCTGCTCCGGGACCCTTATCTCTGTCTCTCTGTCCTCACTGCTGCAGGTCAGCAGGAGGACAGCTGCTCCGCCTTCCCTGGAAGGGCCACCCTTTCTTTCAAAAGTGTAATTTTCCTGCTGCCATTTCTGTTTACTTGTTCGTCTTTGTTACAATCCTAATTCCTGCTCACCATCCGAACAGGGCAGGTCCACTTCCTGGTGGAGGGATGAATGGCCGGCTTCCCTTGGAAGTTGGAAAAGCCCCTCGTGCCCTTGGGGACACGGTGTGATCTCATGAGGAGGCAGCCGCCAGGCCACACTGGGTCCAGCCCATCCCCTGTAGTGGGGCAGGTGGCCGTCTGCTGTGTCCGCTGGCTCAGCGTCTCCGGGATGTCCCCTGCCCCCTCCCTCTCTCCTTCCTTCCTATTCATTCCCTAAAAAGCCGAAACAAAAAGGAAAAAAAAAAGCATGCAATGTATGAAAGCCGAGTCTTCCGTGAAGGCCGTGGGGAGGCCCAGCGCGCTCCGTGCAGACCCCGAGACTTGCAGAGCAGGGCGCTTGTCTGGAGGTGGGGTGACGGCAGGGCCAACAGCAGGCCGGGGGGCTGCCATCTGCTCACCGGGGCCAGACCCCAGGCACCCCTCTGCCGGCAGCTGTAACCCCGGTGAAGACGTGGGGCTTAGACCCCAGAGGGTGTCTGGCCAAGGTGGGGCACAGGCACCCGCCCGAGAAATGGGAGGCGGCTTCCCATCTCTCTCCACGGGATCCTGTGGTACCGGCAGCGCCCTCTGTCCAGCGCCAGTGCCCACCTGCTCACGGGGAGCCTCCCAGGCATCAACTCAGCCCCCTGGGCTGGAATATGAGCCAACAGCCAGCGGTGACTGGATTTCAAAAGACTGAAAAGCAAGACCTACAGACACACAGGGGTCCCCATGGGGGAGCCTCCACGTGAGCAGGAATCCAGGCCTGGACGTACCCATGGGGACAGGAGGTGGGGAACGGGAGTGGGTAGGTGGGGCAGGGGCAGGCACAACTGGGCAGGGGGACAGACCCAGAATAGGGCCCTTCCGACCACAGGAATCACCCTCCACCAGAGCCCGAGGTCCAGGCGGGGCAGGGATGTGACTCCTCCATAGGCTCCAGGGGCCCTGGGCCTGCGGCCACGTCCCTCCCGTCTCCGCCTCCATCTCCGTGTGGCTTCTCCGCTGGGTCTGTGTCTCTCCTCTTCTGCCTCTTACAGGGACAGCCTGCCCTTGCATATAGGGCCACCCTCATCCAGGACGTCCTCATCTCCAACCTTAATAAATCACCTTTGCCACGTAAGGTGATTTCCTCCAACCTGAGGATGAGGACGTGCGGTCCCACTGCAGAGCTGCCCAGTGCCCCTGAGCCCTCCTCCCAGTTGCACCTGGCAGAGGTCCTGGGTCAGCCTGGGATGGATCAGGTGGGGACAGTCAGGGACTCCGGGCCCCACGCTGCACTAGCTCGGGGACACAGACTGCACGTGCCAGCTTCTCCGGCCCTCCCCGGGGGCCCCAGGCAGCAGAGCCCAGGGGCTGGCCTCCTGGTGTCCTTTATTTCCCCAGTCAGGGGTCTGGGAAGGACCCACAGTCCCTCTCCTCTGAAAACCTAGGCAACAGAGAAGCCAGCACCCCTCCTGGGATGCCGCCATCCACTCGGTTCTCACCGAGCCCCGCCACAAAACATCCCCTGGGCCTGCAGCGCCAGTTCCTGGGAAGAGGCTGGCCACGGCCTCCGGGTCAAACAGGCCTGGTGTTGGTGACCCCAATCACTGCCTGCGGGATTCCCCCCAGCTGAGGGACTCCCCTGGTGGACTTCTCACAATAAACACATCCGGCCACACGCTTGGCCAGCCCTCACCAGGAATGGGAGGCCACCCTTCGCTGTGAGATTCCCAGCCTCCTGCCCTGCAACGAGCTCCCCGCCTGCTTCCTCCAGTGCCCAGCAGACCCAGGCAGGCCTCAGACTGCACTGCCCGCTGCCTCCACGGAAGCCGGCCTTCACCCTATGCGCAGTGTGCCGGGGACACTCAGGACTTTCTGCCGTTTCTCCTCCCTGATGGAATAAAATATTTTAGCATCTGTCCTGGGGTGAACGGTGTCCCCCCAGACTCAAGCCCCCCTGGAGCCTGTGACCAGGACCTTATTTAGAAACAGGGTCTCTGCAGATGGGATTCAATGCAGGATCTAGGATGAGGTCGTCCTGGATGAGGGTGGCCCCACACCCCGTGACGGGTGTCCCCACAAGAGACAGAAGAGCAGACGGGCTTGGGCTGACTGCCAGGTTCTGATTTTTTAAATGTAATTCCATCCACAGCAATCAGAGGCTCCTGGGGTCAAGGCCGTCCTTAGAGCGGGAGCTTGTTTTGCGAGTGAAACTTATTTCTGCTTTCCCCAGAGGTGGTCGTGGCCGTGGCTGCCGTGTCCGGGAATCTCGGTGCTGCGTCAGCCCGGCCCGGCTATCGCACACACCACCTTACCAGGGTTTGCAACACGGGTTCCTGGGCCACAGTGATAACAGTTCCCTTGCTGGAAAAATGTCCTCACCTTTACGTCCTTGATACTCGGAAGTCTTTCGAAAGATGCCCACTCGTAGCCCTTGTTTTTCTGCCCCATGCCCCCAAGGGGCACAACTTTTGAAATTGAATCTCCTTTATCAGCCACCATCGCCTCTGGCGAAACGCCCGTTTCTTCGTGGTTTTGACTTAGGACCGAATGGAGCTGTCCCAGGTAGTCGGAGCAGGCCGCTCCCCGTGGGTGTCTGCGTGGACGCCTCCTGCATGCCTCCCAGCCTCCCTACGTGTGTGCCCCATGGGCCGAGGTGGTGCCAGGCAGTGGCGTCTCCAGTCCACAGCTGACTGAGGTCTGCCACCTTGGGGCGCCGTGTGCCGTCTTGTCCTGCAACCCCTTTAGTCATCCTAAAAGGAGTGTGTGTGTGTGTGAGTATGAGACTGTAGCATGACCAGACTGGAGCCGGGCACCTCTTTGCCTGGATCTATCCGCCCGGCACAGCTCTGTGGGTGGTTACCTACTGCAGCTGCATAGGACCCCATTGTGGGGCTGTGTCCTCATCTACAGGGTTGCCCCAAAATGCCGTGTGCTGCAATGCGGCTGGAGGCTGTACTGTGGGTGGGGCTCCCCGAGGCTCACAGGAGGTGAGTGGTGTATGTGTTGCCAGCAGAGGACCCCTGTCCAAACACCCTCCAGAGGTGGAGCCTGGGCCACGTAAGGAAGGGAGTGTGTGGACAGCAGGGCGGTTGGGCTGGGAGGCCAGACCGGAGGCTTCCAGGTCCCTGACGGAGAGGTGCGTGCACCTGGACCCCCGACTCCAAGAGAGATGGGGAAGAGGGTCTTGGTGCAGTCACCCTCCTTCCATGCAGGCCATGTGCCCCGTGAGAGGGTTGAGCAAATGCTGTAGATGCTGATGCTTGACCTTCCAGCTCTAATGCCCGGGTGGAAGGACCTCCCTCCCCAGGCTTGGGTTTCCCCTCTGCTCTGGGGACCCTGGTCCCAAGTGGGGGTGTCTGAACTCCTGGCACAAAGCCTCTCCCGTCCCTGGAGCCCACAGGCAGGATCCCTTCATGCTCCCAGATGCCCACCCCTCCGCCGTCTGTTTTCTATGTCTGAGAACCACTTCTGTCTCCACGGCTTCCTCGGCATGGATGGTGGGTGGCGCAGAATCCCTTTGAGGACAAACAGTCTTGTGGGTTGGGCTTCTTTAATACCACTACAGTTTGCACAAAATCAGCTGGACTGAGATTGATAGACATTCCCTCTGGGTAACTTGGAAAATCAGGGGAAAAATACAAACAAAAAATACAGACAACATAAAAAAAGATGATTAAAAAAGCAGCCTCAAGTCTGAAGGGCAACACCGCGCACATTCCGGTGTGAATTCCCAGGCACCCGTGAGCAGATGCACGTGGGCACGGGTATGCCGTTTCTCCTGCATGGAACTCCCCCTACGTGTTGCGCCACGACGTCCTACACTACTCAAAACATACCGTGAATACTTTCCTGATGAGCACACACCCATGTTGGTGACCTGCCACCATTCTGATGCAGCCTGCACTGTCCTTCTGAAACAAGTCCATGGACACACATGTAGCTGGGTTTTCATTTTAGGACAATACGTGGGACTCCGTGCATGGCAGTGTGTCTACACCTATGCTGTGTGCTGGTTGTATCTGATAGATCAACCTGAGAAGCGGGTGGACGGTAGCCGTATTTGACATCGGGCCTGGGGTAAAGCTGTGTCTCCATAACTGGGGCGTATGATTAACTTTCTCCCGTGTTCAAAAGCTTTGATTTATCTCATGCTTCCCATGGCCGGTGGGGCGCCCGGCCACTTAGGTAAGTGGACGGTGTGGAGGGGAGGGTGGCACCTTGATTTACACCGACACCACGGGGGAGCCCACCTGCACTGGGGCACACTGCCTTTAAAAGCAGCTACAAAATGGACTGAACGAGCCAAAGAGGTGTGGATGGCCTGACGTGGAGGCAGACCCGTCAGGAACCATGATTCTCCATCTCCTCCCACATCGTTGGCCCCGCACCTGCTCACGGCTGGGTGGCACCCTTCCAGAATGGCTCACATACGCCTATGCACCAAAGAGGGGCTTTTCAAGAACCCGATCATCCGCATGTTTCATCACATTCACCAGCTGCATCCTGGCGACAGGTGGTCGGCAGTGTCCCCGTTTCCAAATCTCTGCCCTTACGGAGACATCGATTCTCTGCACGGACGCTCTTGTCTGCTTCCAGCGGCTTCCTTGTCACGGCGGCACGCGGCCACCGTGGTGAGCATGTGGGACTCTGTCACGGTCCTGCCCCCTCTGCTGGGCTCCTGAGAAGCAGTCAGGGTGGCCTCCCATAGGTGGGACACGCGGCTGCCGGGCGTGGAAGCGGAAAGTCAGAAAAGGCTGTGGGGCTGGGATTTGGTGGTCGGGGGGCAAGTCACATCAGAAACCATTTGCAGGTGGGGTGAAAGGGGCACAGAAGTGATATGCCCAGAACTGGGGGGATGCTGAACCCATAATTCCTGCATGGCCCTTGCCAGTCACTGCGTCTCCTCCACCAGGAGGATGTCTTCGGGTTTGTGTGAGCCCGGCGGCGGGCTGCCCCCGTCCCAGGACACCTGAAACAGAGAGGGCGCATGCCAGTGAGTCCCCTTCCAGGGAGTGCCCAGCTGTGTCATCTAGGGAACAGCGCTGAGGGCAGTGTGGGGCACAGTGACCCAGTGCAAACAGCCCAGGTGCCCATCACGGATGGAGGGCTAAGTAAACATGGTGCATCCATGCCCGGGAACATCACTCGGCCCTGAAGAGGAGGGGAGCCCTGACACACACACACAGCATGGATGGTCCTGACCCCACGGTGCTCAGGGAGAGACGCAGACACACACGGGGTGGGATCCATTCATAGGAAATACTCAGAACAGGCAGATGCACAGACAGACGTGGATTCATGGCTGTCAGAGCTGAGTGGGGTGGGGAGGCCTGTTCGTGGGCATGGGGTTTCCTTTGGGGAGGTGGAATGTTCTGGAACCAGAGGGGGTTGCCCACACAACCTGGTAATGCACTCAGTGCCCCAAGCTGTTCAGCTGGAATGGCAAATTGTATGGCTTGTGATTAGATCACAATTCAGCTGCTTAAAAACAATCGCCCCCACCCCCCACCCATCACTGCCTCATCCCTGTCTGGGGTGCCTGGAATCGAGACGGACAGATGGAAGGCCACTCTGTGGGACAGACAGACACCTCCAGTTTGGGATAAGTGGCCCCAGCCTTGCTGTCAGCTCCCGGAGACCCCAGGTGTGCTCTGCTCCGCCCTGACCCCCGTGGTCTGGCATGAGCCCTGGACCCCCCTCCAGAGCCCAAGCAGGTTGCCCCAGCCCCCACACGATGTCTTCATAGCTTGGGGGCCTCCGCAAACTTAGGGTGATCCTGGGTGGTGAGGCGGGGAATCGGGCTTGGGATGGTGCATTTGGAGGCCCACGTGGGAGTGTGACGGGGCGTGATCAACCGAGTAAGGACCCCGAGTAAGCACCCTGATATCTGCCCTGGGCTCTTACTGAAGCAGCACTCCCTGCACCCTACACCTGGGAGCTGGGTCCTAGACAGAGTCGGGGGTCGTGTGTGCAGAGCAGAGGAGGTGCTTTTGCTGGGAGCCTGGATGGCAGCTCGTCTGCACCTTGGTGCCTGTGTCCCTGCAATGCTACACGAAGGCACTACGGCCAAGCTCACTTTGCCCCAATGCTCCCCTGGATCCTAAACTCTGCTGCCAGACAGGCAGACTTCGTGGGAGCCCAGGGCAGGCCGACGGTGCAGCCAGGAAAGGCTGCCGGAAGAAACGGGGGCCAGAGGCTCTATCTGGGGCGCCTCTCTGCTCCTCATGGGGGAGTGTGTGTGGTGGGCTCAATGGGAGGCCGGAAGGGGCTGGGGCGGATGCCCGCAGGAGGGTCCCTGAACCAGCCACAGGTGGGTGTGGGCCTGGCTGCCCCCAGGGAACCGGCTGTCGTGGCTGATTGTCACCCCCTGGAATTCACATCTGCCCGGAACCACAGAAGGGGACCTTATTTGGAAATAAGGTCTCTGTGGATATGACTGGACAATGGAGATGAAGTGACCCTGGTTGGGTCCAGGGCCCCCCACAAAGGGTGACAATAAGCCGGCCGAGGGCTGTCAACAAGCATGAAGCCCTGGCCCCTTCCTCCGCCCTGGGAGTTGTTGCTCTCCAGTGCCTCCTATTGTGTTGTCCCTGTGACGCCCGGATGGCGGGACCTCTCTGGGGAAGGCAGCTGCATGGCGGAGCCCCACCTTCCCTTCCACCCCGGTGTCTGCAGGCGCTGTGTCCTCAGGGTGGCCCCCACCTCCCGGGACACCTGGCCTCCTGCCGTCTGAGTCCGGGGCTCCGAGAGAGCAGGGCCAAGCCTGGGCTGGGCTCACCTCCAGGTGGGGCGGGAGGCTGCCTGTGACTTCCCTGCGCACCTGCGGGATCGGGGGCAACAGCCTTTGCTTCAGGGAGAACCTGGTGAGAAGAGACAGAAGGGGAGGCGGCCCCATGCTCGGCAGCCTGAACCGGGGGGCCCAGGGCTGTGCCCAGAGATGCTGGAAGCTGGCTTCCTGCATGGCCAGGGGTCAGGACTGGGGCCCAGTCAGTGGCACAGGCTGGCTTCCTGGGCTACGGCTGGGGACCAGCCCTAGGAGCCCACCTTGGGGGCCCACTCGTGGACCCTACCTGGGGACCCATCTGGCGGTGGGCAGGGCAGCTGGTGTCCTGGGGCCACTTACCTCCACATACACCTAAGAGTCCCCGTGTGTCTGGCCTGCCGCTGAGGCCAGACTGGCTCACAGGGCAGGGGTGCTGATGGCCGAGATGGCAGGCAGCTGGAGCTCCCACCCACTATCCAGGGCTGGAGCCCTCCCCCCCATGCCAGGAGCAGATGCAGCCCCCAGCTGCCCACTGGGCTGCATCGGGCCTCTGCCTCTGTCCAGCGCAATCCTGCAGCCCGTGTGGCCCCCAGACCCTCGGAAACCTCTCCCTCCAGTGCCTGCAGGTGTTCCCCACGCCTGGGGGTTCTGCCCCAGGACGTGCAGGCACTGCCAGACTCCAGTCCCCCCAGGTGGCCCCTGGCTCTCCAGGCCCCCGCAGGACCTCCTGGCCAAGTGGCCCCCACCCCCACAGCTCTGGGCCAGGGCCAGGCACTCCAGGTTCAGACCCACCCACACCACTATCCCTCCCATCACTGTCCCCATGGTACCAGGAAGGCCATGGGCACCCGGGAGGAATGCCTACTGTGACACTAGGAGGCACTCCTAAAGGAGGTGGATGGTGTGCAGGGTGGGGGGCATTGTACCCGAGGACACGGGGCATCCTACCCACAGGAGCCCGGCCCTGTTAGTCTCTGCGCATCCCCTCCCCGAGCCCTAAGCGACCTCAGATCCACTTCCTGCCTCTGGGTTCGCCCTTCCCAGCCGTTCCGTCTCTGGGGAGCCCTAGTCAGTGTGGCCTCTGTGGCTGGCCCCCTTCATACCCAGGCAGGGTCCCGGTTTGGGGGCAAACCTTTTGCAGAGGAACATCAGGACGGTGACAGTCAGCACCACCCCCGCCACCAGCCCAGCCAGGGCCACGGTGGTCCTGCTGGAACGCAACTCTGCATGGCCTGATGGGAGGAGGGGCAGAGGGTCAGGAGGGACCCAGGGTCATTGGGGCACACATCAGCCCCTCCACGTCTGTCATCAGACTACAGGTAGGGGGTATTCTGGGGGGAAAGCAGGGCTGATGTGAGTACAGCGCTTCTGGACACAGGACCTGAGGGAGCTGAGGACACTGTCTGTGAAGAATCTACCCTACCCTGCATCCAGAGCTGCCCCGCCCACCCCTTCTTACTGTCCCCTTCGCCCCCACGCCCTGCTCACAGGAGCGGCCCAGCACATACATTTCCACGAGGGCTTGATGCGTTCCCTCTTGGGGCACATTTACTTTTCACATGGCAGGGCATAGCCAAAGGAGTGAATGAGGAATGGTGAAATGTCAAGGGACAGAGCTGCTTTTCCATCGCAGAGGAGGCTTTCCCTGGGGAACTCTGACTAGGCTTGTGCCACCTGTACCACGTCTGTGAGCCATGAACCTGTCCTCTGGGAGGAAGGAGGCTGGCACATGGATTCGGCAGCTCCTCCTAGGTGGGGCTGCTGGGAAGCCCGTGTAGGGTTTGAGCATCAGGCAGGTGCATACTTGGAGCTGATGCCCAATTGGTCCTGGAGGGATGCCAAGGGGCCCCTGGAGAGAGGCACTGGGCAAGTCCCAACCCTGTGGGTTTTCTGCAGGTCTGAGCAGGCAGGCATGTTGGGAGACTGCATGGGGTCTGTTAGCTCCACACCCTACATGTATGGGGACAGCCAGGGGCTTTTCCTGCTACGAGTGCTACCAGGTGATGGGGACTGTCACCCGTGCAGGCCCCTCAATTTGTGATAGCCCCTCCCTGCCCCATAAAGGAGGAAGGCATGATGGGGTACTGTGGAGTGGTACCCCACGTGGGGCAGAAAGTCAGAGCCCCCTGGCTGGCCCCCACTGGAGGTGACCTCCCTGGGTTGGGGGTGGCCGGCAGCCGGGGTCTTAGAGACAGACCAGTGGGGTGGAGATAAAGATGAGAGGGGCTTGTGTCCCTGAGGCTGAGGGAGGGAGGGGATCTCCCTCCAGGATGAGCCCAGAAACATGGGAAGGGGGTGCAGGGGACCAGGACAGGCTGCACGTGGTGTGCTCAGGCACAGAGCCATGGACAGGAGCTACCCTGGGTCCCCTGTACCCAGAGGGGTCACAGTGGGCTCAGCATATAGATATGTCTACATCCTAAACCCCAAAACCTGTGCCCTGGACCTTATTTGGAAAGAGGGTCTTTGCAGATGGGATTAAGTGCAGGATCTGAGATGAGGTCGTTCTGGATGAAGGTGGCCCTAAACCTGGGGACAGGTGTCCTCATAAGAGGCAGAAGAGGTCGGGCAGCGGGACGCAGATGAAGGCCCTCCGCCCGTCCCATGTGACACGGGAGTTCCTGGCACACACTCACCGAAATGCAGGGGCGAGCTCCACTCACTCCAGAGCTTGTTGTGCACGTACCTCACTCTTGCTCGAAAGGTACTCTCAGCCCTCATGGCAGAGCTGGGCAGCAGGTACACATTTTTATCCTCCCCTCGTTGGAAGATCTTGAAAAGAACAGAGCCACTGTGACTGGCATTGGTGACAGCTGCAGGGGGAAGGCGGGAGGTGTGACAGTCCTGTTGGGACGGAAGTGCTTGGACAGAAGAGGCCCGGCACCCGGTGGGGGCGTGGGCCCTGCCTGCTCCGTCGCACCTCTGCTGCCTGAGGGAAGTGCGGTGAGGGCCTGTGTCCTGGGGATGTGGGCCCCACAGCACGGCGGGTGCCACAGCCCTCCACCCATCCCACTTGGCGGGCACAGCCCCCACACCCTGGTGTCCTGGGACAAGCGCGTTTGGAGTGGCTGCAAGAGTAACATGACCGTAGGGGGACAGGTGGTCAGGAAGGGAAGGAAGGAGGGCCCTGGAGGGGTCTTCAGGGCAGGAGGGGATCATGCATGGATCAAAGCTGCTTCCTGAGAGGCCCCAGCCCCTTGTGCCAAGCTCCCCGTGCAAACTCTTGTCTCATCACCAGATGCCGCCTGAGGGCCAGGTCTGCTACGGGCCAGGGTTGAGTGGGACAGACGGGTTGTGCCCTCCTGAGTGTTCCAGATGCCATGACGTTTCCGTGCATTTGGAACCTTCTTATTAGGACAGACAGTGTTCCGAGTTTGCACGGCCAACAGGCACCAAGAACAGTCCTCGCCCTCCGTCTGGCTCTGAGCACCGAAGTCGTTTCTTGCATGCACATATATGTGTGACTGAAACCTTTTTTATCAGCTGCATTTCTCCTTTTAGACTCAGCAGATCCCACTCCAACCACACAGCTCCCGGGCAGCTGCCTGAGGGGAAGAGGGGGGCTGGGAGGTGCTGAGCTAGCCCACGAAATAACGGAAGCTGAGAGTGGCCTGGAGATGCCGCCAGCCACTAGGAGAGCCCGCGGGCAGTGGGAGGACACATGTGTTGGTAGTATGATGCTGGCACTGGGCTGGGTATCAGGTATCTGAGCAACAGGTGGCACCCAGAAAAGACAGGTGTGTCCCCCGAGCTGGTGTCTTCAGACACCTCTGCGCCTCTTCTCTCCGGGCCACTCCTGGGTTGGCCTGTGGCTCAGCCTGTCACTGGCAGAACTGGCACCACATGGGACCCAGGAAGACTGAAGGATGCCAGGTGATGGAACAGAGGGCACTGCCCTCTAGAGGCTGAGGGGATGGTCACCTCTGTGAGTGTCCTGGGCGGCTGTCATGACCACAAACTGAGGACTTAAAACCACAGGAATCCTCCTCTCCCAGCTCTGGAGGCCAAACTCGTAAGATTCTAGCAGTGTTCTAAGGTGCAGGCAGGGCTCTGAGGTCCAGGTGGGGCTCTGAGGTCCAGGAGGGGCAGGGCCGCCTCCCTCCACAGGCCCCAGGGGAGGCTCCTTCCTGCCTCTTCCGGCTTCTGGGGGCTCCAGGCGGCCCTGGACATGTGGCCCCATCCCTTCCATCTCTGCCTCCATCTCCACGTGGCTTCTCTGTCTGTGTCTCCTCTTCTGTCTCTAATAAGGGCACCTGTCATTGCATTTGGGGCCCCCCTCATCCAGGATGACCTCATCACAGATCCTTCACTTGTCATATTTGCAAAGACCTTATTTCCCAAACATGGCCCCATTCTGAGCTTCCAGGTAGATACATCTTTTGGTGGGATGCTCTTCAACTCACTATAGTCTTTGAATGGAAAAGGTCTGAGGGGCTGTGTCTGGATGAAGGACGTTGCTCTGTCCATGGGGTTGATGATAACCAGCTACTTGCACTGAGTTGCAGGCATTCAAGAGAACACAGCTTCTCAATCTGAGGCTAAAGTCTCAGGGGACCCTGGGCCACACAGGGTGAGGGCTGTATATTGAGGAAATTTAGGGCCCGTGCATGCATGTTTTATAGAAAGGGGGTACTTACAGGATCTATTTTAGAGTTGCTGCCCTGTAAAAATGAAAGCAAGGGAAAAATGGTCAACGGCTGTGTCTTCAGCACTGTATTCAAATATGGGAACCTGCCGTGAACCCTAGAGTTGGTATGAGGCTTATTTTAAGCTGAAGGTAGTTGAGATTCTACAGAAGCAGAAAGAAGCCTTCTCAGAGCTCCCTTTATCTGGTTAAAAGCAGAAAACTCTGTGTAGGGAAAATGGAAATTCCATGGGCAGGTTCTCACCTGATCCTAATTTCGCCCATTGTATAAGTGGGATGAAGTAATGCTTTGCCTACTGCACAGGTGCCTACTTGCATACCTATTGGCAACAAGCTATTCATGGCCAATATTGCCTTAAGAAGAGGTCTACCTGGTGCTAAGAGAAGAGGGAGGCAGCGGAGCCCTGTGCTGGGAAGAGAGAAGGGAGTTTAGAGAAGACAGCGGGAGGGAATGGGGACGGAGCTAGGAGTGGGGGTCGGTGCCCGGGGCAGAGATGGGGCCAGGGCCACACAGGCTAGACGGACGTGCCTCTGGGTGAACGCCATCAGAGTAAAGCTGGGTAGGAGCCCCTTTTTTTATGACCAGCGTTCCGCTGTTGTTACTCAGTCTCAGAATTCATAGTGAGCTTGCCCACAGCTGGCAACGCCCTTCACCTGGCGTGACACTTGGGAATGAGGAATGTTATAAATTCCCTCTTCAGGGAGATTTCATTCCCGGAGGGAAGGCGAGTGTAACTCTCATAAATTCCATCTCCAGGAGAGTTTTATGCTGGGAGGAAAACAAAGGATCGCTCATACCTGTATCAAGAAACATTATCACAAACTGCCTTATATCCCGTTTGTTCCCCCAGAAACCCATTCTTTTGTCTTTCCAAAGAAACCCATTTGTTTTTCTTATAGAAGAAGCCTTTTCTGTCTTCTTTCTTTTCCCCTAGTTCAGTGGATAAGCCCCTAACTTTAGCTGTTTAAGAGTCACCTCTTTTCTGAGCTTCCAAATGCCTGTGAGTAAACTTTGCTTTTTGTCCCCTTCTATTTATTTATCTGGACTTTGATGATTTAATTTGCATGCCCCCAGGAAAAGACAGAAGAGACTAGAGGGAAAGTTTTTCCTCCCCAACACAGTTCTCTTCTTGTGCATTTACTTCCAGCTGGTGAATTTGCTCTGAGGGTGTTAATGAGTGAAAGGGAATGTGTATGAGGTCAATTCTGTGAGGTCATCTGTGTGCAGTTACCTGTGTAATGCCACCTGTGTGCGTGCTGGGGAGGAGGCTGTCAACAGGCTGGGTCAGACACTGCAAATTGTAGGAGGCTACATCCAGGGCCCGACTATCACCCAGGACCCAAACCACACCTCTTGGAAGGGTTGTAAGGCACAGAGGGACACAGCTTCATCTCCATTTTGAAAGAGCCCTGTAACTGAGTGTTTCACACCTGGTGTGGGATCACCGGCAGAGCTTTGGAGAATGCCCCACATTGTGACTTCAAGGGCCTTGCAGAGAGGCTGGTGGAGGCTAGGGCTTGAGAGATGTGGAGGGGATAAAAGTGTACTGAAAGGACAGGGTTGTAGGACAGCAGACTCCAGGGCTGGGGACAGGCCCTGTGGGGAATATCCGGTGACCTGGGGATAGTGGCTGCCTGGTGAGCCATGCATGAATGTTCAGAGCATTTATTCATTGAGCACATATTTACTGGGTGCTAGGCACTGTAGGCCTATGTATGATGACAGCGCGCTGCTCTTAGGTAACTTGCCTTCTGCAGGTAAGAGGCAGAAAGCACAGAAATTCAGCCCCTCAGGCAAGAGCATTTAAGGTAGGAACAATTTCCGATCAGCTCCGGGAAGAAGAAAGACAAGAACACACATGTGCAAAGGCACTGGGGTCTGGGGTGCTGAGGACTGGCTGCTGCAGCTGGGACCCAGGGGGGTTGCCTGGGAGAAGGACATGTCAGGTGTGCCTGATTAATATACGCCATTCACAGCCAAGCAGGAGGGTCTGCGATGAGAACTGGGATGCGGGTACAAGCTTGAGTTTCACATCCACCCCTCACTCTGGGTTTGGGATGTGGGTTGAGGCTCCAGGCTATGGGGAAATGGAAATGTGATGTGATCGGTGGGAAGTCCCCAGCTTCCAAGAATCAGCTCTTCCAAGTCCAGATCTGAGGTTCCAAAATCTCACTTCATACAGTGGGGACGAGGGGTGTGGAAGGATGGGGACAGGTTGAAGACTTGGGCTGGCATCTGTGGATTTCCCATGAGCTAGCTTTTCAAGACCATTGTCAGATTTTGTTTCAAAAAGTAATGAAAAGGCTAAAAGCTGTATGATTCCAACTCTAAGACATTCCAGAAAAGGCAAAACTATGGAGAGACTAAAGGGATCAGGGGTTGCCAGGGTTTGGAGGAGGGAGGGATGATAGAGCACATAGGACTTTTAAGGTGGTGAAATGCTCTGTAAGGTACTATCATGGTGGCTACATGTCAGTATACGTTTGTCCAAACGCACAGAATGAGCATCACCAGGATGTGTCAGTGTAGGTTCATCGACTGTGACAAATGTCTCACCTGCTGGGGATGCTGATAACAGGGGAGCCTTACGTGTGTGAGGGCAGAAGGTACATGGGAGATCCCTGTATTTTTTGCTCAGTTTTGCTGTGAGCCTAAAACTCTTCTAAAGAGCAAAGTCTCTTTCAAAGGAAAAACAAAGTTATGAAGGGCTAACAATAAACAATCTGAAAATAAAATTAGGAAAACAAGTTCAATTACAACAACATCAACAAGAATAAAATGCTTAGGAATACATCTCATGAAAGAAGTGCAAAACTGTACACTGAAAATGACAGAACATTGCTAAAGAGATAAAAGAAAAAAATAAAAGGAAAGACATCCCATGTTCCTGGATCAGAAGACCCTATCTTGTTAATATGGCAATATCCCCAATTGATTGACAGATTCAATACACTATCAAAATTGCAACGGCTTTTTTTTTTCTTTTTGCAGAATTGCACAGCGGATCCTAAAATTTGTATTGAATTTCTAGGAATGCTGAATTGCCAGAGCAACCCTGAAAAATGAGAACAAAGCTGGAGGCACCACATTTCCTGATTTCAAAACTTACTACAGAGCTAAAGTCATCAAAACAGTGGTAGTCCTGGCATAAAAATAGACACAGACCAATAGGATAGAATAAAGAAAATCATCTCAAAATGGATGAACGACCTAACTGTAAGAGCTCTTACAATCAAACACAGCTTGTTGGCTGACCTCATGGCACAAGGGTAGCGCATCTGACTCCAAACACAGGTGCCATCTTTGTGACCTCATCATATGACTTCATTTTTAAATAATGAGACTTTTATGACAAAGAGGAGCTAAAGGACTTAACAAAGAACAGCTTTCTGGAGCAGAATTCCACTCTCATTAGGGACCATTCTACCCAAAACAGGAGAAAGGCGGGCACATGTGGTTTGTGGCTCTTCCCAAAGGTTTGGGGTTCTTACCTTTTTTTGAATGTCCAGTTTGTAATACAACATATGAGTTGCAATGTCAAATCTTATCTCAGGATTGTCCCACTGGATAATGTGATGTGATTCATTGTCATAAACTGTGATGTTTTCTGGTGGGTTATACTTTTCTAAGAAAAAAACACAAATGGTGCAACGAGTTATAAATCACAGAGGAGTTGTTCGCAGGAGAATTAGCTGAAGGTGTCTTGGTAGTCACATGTCCCATTCTCTTTTTCCTGCATGAAAGAGAAAAGGCCACTGGGCCTGGGAAACAAGACCTTGGGTCAGCTGAGTGTGCACCTCAGGATGTTCCCTCCATTCTGCACGAAAACCCGCCTGACCAGGTACCCGCCCTTTGCATCCATGTTGCAGGAGTGCTGAAACCTCCGGCAGAGAAGCCAGTAGGTTAGACCCCCCTCCTTCTTCATCCCTCACCTCCTCTGGGACGCTCTACAACCCTGGGGACTTAGGTTACCCAGCATTTACAGGGCGCCAACAAAACAGGTTGATTGGGGTCATCTTGAAGTCATCCAAGCGCATACAGATTATTTTGACTGAAGGCAACTGAGAAACAACAGATACAGAAAGACGCTTTCCTGGGACTTCCCTTATCTGACTAAGAGCAGCAATTTGAGAAATGAAGACTTCTGTGAGTCCGTTCTCTGGAAAAGTTGTGTGGCCAAGAAGGCTGTCCTGTGTGTGCCTCATGGAGAAAAATACATATATTACATGGTCTTTGTTCAGGCTTGAGTTCAATGTCAATGCATCGGCAATGTATATTAAATAAAGGGTTTTTAAATAGAGACACACATAATACAAGGTTATGTATTGATGAGTTGATGAAAATGTTGTGACCAGAGGCTAATTTTGTATTTCCTCCTAGGAATGATTCAGTATTTGCTAAGTCAGTGTTTGTGGGGAATTTAGAGGACATCACAACCATAAATAATGGAAATGGCTTGTATCTGACATCTTTCGTGAGTGACACGAATATGTGCCTCTCCCGTATCCCACCGAAAGGGGAAGCCATGACCCCCCTACCTTCTTCTCTGGATAGTCTCTGAATCTGGTTCCTGGGTCTTGTTCAGATGGGGCTGGTCTGGGAGCCGGCATCCCATCCCACAAGCCCTGGTTCAAACCCAAATGCAATAAAAGCTAGACGACTCACACGGGGGCTGATGCAAGGTAGGAAATTGTCTCACCGATTTTATAAGCTACAAACGGAGTAAAGTCCAAAAACTGGATTGCCGTCTCTCTGCTGGTTCCGTTCACCAAGAAGAAGTAATTATCTGTGCGTTTGGGCTTCCCGAGTTTATGGAAATGGCAGCCCACGCGCGTCCCCGTGGAGTCTGTGGTGTAGTGGGGGCATTCGGCCTCGTCCTCGTTCCTGCAGTTTCCAAAAAGGATCAAGGAGGGGCCGGAGTGTGAATCATCGAACACAAAAATCTCTCCTCAAAGCAGAAAACCCTCTAAAGAGGCTGACAGTGTTGTTAACTCTGGAAGTTAAATGAAAATAACGTTCAGCGTATCAAATCGAAACATTGGTTAAAAAGGAGACCCTTTTTATCACGGAAGAAGCAGGAAACCAGAACGTGATGCACATCTGGGGCAATCGGCTAAGGGACTGGGGACGCGGGGAGAGGGCGTCTTAATGCAGAGCTAAGACAATGCAGGCTATTCCTTCCATGCTCTCCAGATAAAAGTGGACATTTCCCATCTCTTAAGGACCAGAGAAGGGTTTGCATTTAGGAGCCAGGCTCCCGCTGATGTTTCTCCTCCCAGGAGATGGGAAGGTGGGTTTTTTTCTCCCTGGATTTTTGGGCACTTCAGAGAGATGTCCCCCCCGGCCCTGAAATGTGGGGCTGGCCTGTGGCTTCTCTACCAGTTAACCCCATGGCCCAGACTGGCCTTATCCGCTCAGAGGTGGCCTGCTTACATGGAAGCCCATGCGTAGAGGTGGTACTGGACGTCGGCAGGGGCAGCTGGGCCCGGAGTCCAGCTGCAATTCATGAAGCGGACGTCGTAAATAAAGCAGGAGAAGTTCACAGCACTGGAACCTTCCTTGCCTGGAAGACATCAACCCGTATCCTCTACTGCTGCACCCCCGCCCCCAGCACGAGCACCGCGGGGTCCCTGCAGGTCCTTGCAGGAAAACTGGGGTACCGGCTGAGGCCCCGTCACCTGGGTTGGTAAAGTTCAGGACATCCTGGAATGCAGTCCCAGCAGAAGTCACGTTCAGCGTCAGGGTGGCCCCCCTGTGCAGCACGGAGTTGGAAAATACACAGAAATAGGTGTTGTTTTCTTTGACCTGGAAAAAGAACAAATAATAGACCTGCACTTCGGGCCCCCTCGGGCCCCATTCTGTGCCGCCGGTTCCACGAGAAGACCTTGAGGGTGTCCCCAGGGTCAGACGTCACTCAGCCTCCCTCTGGGAGCCTGCTTCTCCACCAGGTCTTGTCCCTGGCCTGCCAAGCCCCGTTTTGGCAAAGAACCCTGCTAAACAGATGATGGAGAAGCACCCCCACCTCTGACCCTGTCGGGGAGCAGACTGTGCCAGCTCACAGTGTCGGGTGCTCTGCTGAAGTCAACTGACAAACAGCAAATGCCCAACGAGCGGTCTGCCCTCCTCTAGCTGCCTAAGATCAGGGCGTAGATTTCCCTATTTGAAGGTGCCCTGCACCCCACAATCCGCCTCCTCTTGGGGAGTGAGTCTTATCACCGGGGAACGGGGCTGAACTTCAATAAGCTGAACTCGAATAAGTGTAAAGAAGGCACCGAGAGGAATGCATGTGACACGCGTCAGTGAAACAGCCCTTATCTTGCATCAGGCACTTCCCCCAACTGTAGACTTGGAACTCTGAGCCACAACTTGCGTGCACCCGCCCAGGGTGCCAACCCCCCGTCTGCAGTGTGGAGCCCAGAGGCCCAACCTGCTCTCTGCAAGTCAGACCTTCAGGAAGCCAGATCGCTATCTCCCCGCCAATCCAGGAAGCTAACAGTTGCCCCCCGTAAAATCACCCCCCAATGGCCTGGGCTTGATTGGCCACTGGCCGTTTCCCTCATCTTGTCCCTGTTTCCAACGTGGCATATGGACCATTCTGAGCTGGACACAAACTGAGAATCAAAAGGTGTCAGAGGCAGCCTCCTGGAGTTTCCCTTTTTTGGCTGAAAGCAGAAACTTCTAAGAAATGAGCACGCCCATGTCCTGTGTCTCTGGGGAGGTTTTATGGCCGTGAAGACAATGGAAGTTCAGCACCGAGATCAATCTGCACCAGCAAACTTTACTAAAATAACCCTTCTTTTCTGGTAGTTTCCCCGTATATGTGCCTACCCACAGATGCGGCCCATGGAAGCCTCACACGCACTTTCCTTTGTCTTATCACATCGCAGTGTATTGCTCTTTGTTTAAAATGGTACAAGAACTGTCAGGTCAACCTGCTTTATTGGGGGTGTTCTCTTCTGTCTACAATGCTTCGCTGCCACCATGCCATGTAAAAGTTTTCAACCATGTAAAATGTCTTTGCCTTTTCCTCCAGTGAATCTGCGTTTTGTCAGTCTCATTTGCAGGGCCTCAAGGACCCCCCCCTTAAGAGTGTAGAGGAACTGTTTTTCCTCCCCTGCCCCACTATGTAGCTTTCTGATTTGGAGGCTGTGCCCAACACAGCCGCTAGTGGCCGAGTCCCTTTCCAGAGTGAGTGCTTTAGGAACAGCCTCTGCTTTTATGTCCACAGGTTTTAATGCTCATTTAGGGATACAACTCTTTTCTTTGCCTTTCACTTTCTGGGTTGGCAGGGGATTTGCTTTATAACTCTATTTCCCCAACTAGTGTCCCAGGGATGGAAGTTGGGGGGTTGGCATGGGGAGGGAGCGTCACAGACCCCTGTGGGATGCGGGCATCAACAGAGATGTGAAGACCTGTGAGACTCCAGTCAGGCCTGCATTCAGGAATCTTCCCTGCAGCTCGCTTCTGAAAGGGGCTTCTGGATACACCCCAGTTACAACGGGGGCAATTCCAGATTCCCAGACTCTGTCCCTGGCACAAACCAGGCCTGGGCTTGGTGCCCCCCTCCTTCCAAGATGAATCAACAGGCTCCAAGTAAGGAGTCCAGGAAATGGTTCTGCCGTGGGAAATAATAGGCAGGGTTTTTTTTTCTAGAGATAGAACACATTCAATGCCCATTTCTATGGAAACACATTCTTGTGAAAAGGATGTGCTTCAGAAGAAAAATAGTAAGAGCAGTTCGCTGGAAATCCTAACACAAAAGGAAACGTAGGATTTGGAACAAAGACGACGGAAGAGGAGAAACGGATACGGGCTGGAATGCGGATTGTTCTTAGAACAACACTTATGAATCACAAAGCAGGAAATGCCAAAGCAGGAAAATCTGTGATTGACATATAAATCAGGATGATTGACCCGCCTTAAAACAGCAAACAGAAGCCCCCCGGTGTGGGTCAACCTATTCAGAGCCAGGGGAAAAATACCTCAAAAGAAGTTGAGGTACAGCTGAGCGTGGTGGTGCCCGAAAAGAGTAGAGAAGGAACTTCTCAGGTAGGCAAGGACTCACAAAAATATCCCAGTTGTGCCCTGTAAGCCTGAATGCAAATCTAAAAAAGAAAATTAATCTTCCCCAGTTCCAAAAAGGAAAGAAAATGCCCTGATTCCCCTCCCGTTGGCATTCCCTGGAGAAACTTGCATTGTCTTGGCTCTCAGGGCCACCCCGAGATGCGTGGAGAGCTCTTTAAAAAGTGGACCTCGGGATGGTTTGGCGTCCCAGGAATGTCTGTGTCGGGGTCTTGGGGGGCCTCATATGCAAAGCGTGCATCAGTTAGGGGTCCTACTTCCTGCCCCAAGAGGTAATTCCTGGTTGTCCAGACCCGGGGAGAAGCCTTAGCTTTCCTACCTGTGTGTGAGGGATGCTACCTGCCTGCCCGGAGGGGAGGGGAGGTTCTGCCTGTCTGTGCAGTGTCCTGGAAGATGGCCCACTGGGCACGGTCCAGCCCGGTTCATGCTTCTGCAGTGACAAAACTATTTTCTGTCTCTTCTGCCTTTGTGCACAGGTCTCTGGATAGGTGGGAGATTTCGTCTCATTTACTTACATATTTATGGATACACTGAGTTATTTCGTTGCTCGGTGTTGAGCCTCTGCCCTAGCCCCCAGCTGATTCCCCCAGGGGCCGGAGGGGAGGGGAATACAGAAATGCAGGTTTGAGGAACCACCACTCAAAGGTTCAGCCCAGGCCTGGCTCTGTTCCCGAGGAAGCAGGCTGCTCTCTGCACTGGCAGAAAAACACTTATTTCGAATTCCGCCTCCTCCAAAACCCAAACCTGTGTGCCCCCAGCAAAGAAATGCCACAGCCATGTTTTCTGAATTTACCAAAGAAGAAAACCTCGGTCAAAGCTGAGGTTGAAAAAAAGAGGCCCTCAAGTTTAAAAAAAACACGATAAGCAATCCCCTAAGGAAGTCTTCAGAAAGGAGGGGGTCACAAGCTGCTACTCAGATAAAAGGGGTCGGAAAGCACCTCAGGAGCGCCTTTCCGGCCGAAGCCTCAGCCAGCCAGTCCATTAGAAACATTAGAGCCCAGCCCCTGCAAAGAACTAGTTTCTCTTCTGTAATTGCTCCAGGAGCATAAACCCTTTAAACAAGTCTGCAGAGGCCGAAGGAGACAGATCGGCAGCAGCCCGACGCTGCCCCTTGCTGGGGGAGCCGGGAAGCGGTTGTAGCCTCGGGTCTAGGGGTGCACAGAACGCTATGAAGGGCACCCAACGCCTACGCAAAGAAAGGGCCCAGCCACCTTACAGACTTGATCAGCCGTGTTTGGGAAGCAGGGGCTTGGAAGCACCGTGCCCACGGCTCACAGAAAAGTGGCTCCCTGTGCAGCTGAGGAGGGGAGTGAATAAAGAGCCATTCCACTAAAAACACAGTAAAACCCAAACTATCATCTTTACGGACTGAACTCTGTGGTCGTCTACAAAAAGCCCTACTGACAGTGCTTCGGGTTTGTGTCCCTAAGGCGAGGACAGTGTAAAGAAACGGGGTGATGCGATGGCACATGCAGGACGTCCATGGGGAGAAGGTGTCAGGTCAGCAGCTCTGGCCCACAGGCCCGTCCCAGGGAGGCTGTAGGTGTACAAGGCAGGGGGGACTCACCCGTGGACTTTGCATGGTGGGGGAGCCCTGCGGGGTGTCTAGTCTGCATTCCTGCTCGGTCACGTTTCTCACGTAATTCCACATCAACGTCCTTGTCCTGGAATCTAGCTTCATGTTGATAATAGGAGACGCGTCCTCCTGGACTAGAATTTAACGGAATGAACACTTAGTGGAGATTGGGACGTAACCCCCCTTTGTCCCCCCAAGAAACGGATACGGGCTGGAATGCGGATTGTTCTTAGAACAACACTTATGAATCACAAAGCAGGAAATGCCAAAGCAGGAAAATCTGTGATTGACATATAAATCAGGATGATTGACCCGCCTTAAAACAGCAAACAGAAGCCCCCCCGGTGTGGGTCAACCTATTCAGAGCCAGGGGAAAAATACCTCAAAAGAAGTTGAGGTACAGCTGAGCGTGGTGGTGCCCGAAAAGAGTAGAGAAGGAACTTCTCAGGTAGGCAAGGACTCACAAAAATATCCCAGTTGTGCCCTGTAAGCCTGAATGCAAATCTAAAAAAGAAAATTAATCTTCCCCAGTTCCAAAAAGGAAAGAAAATGCCCTGATTCCCCTCCCGTTGGCATTCCCTGGAGAAACTTGCATTGTCTTGGCTCTCAGGGCCACCCCGAGATGCGTGGAGAGCTCTTTAAAAACTGGACCTCAGGATGGTTTGGCGTCCCAGGAATGTCTGTGTCGGGGTCTTGGGGGGCCTCATATGCAAAGCGTGCATCAGTTAGGGGTCCTACTTCCTGCCCCAAGAGGTAATTCCTGGTTGTCCAGACCCGGGGAGAAGCCTTAGCTTTCCTACCTGTGTGTGAGGGATGCTACCTGCCTGCCCGGAGGGGAGGGGAGGTTCTGCCTGTCTGTGCAGTGTCCTGGAAGATGGCCCACTGGGCACGGTCCAGCCCGGTTCATGCTTCTGCAGTGACAAAACTATTTTCTGTCTCTTCTGCCTTTGTGCACAGGTCTCTGGATAGGTGGGAGATTTCGTCTCATTTACTTACATATTTATGGATACACTGAGTTATTTCGTTGCTCGGTGTTGAGCCTCTGCCCTAGCCCCCAGCTGATTCCCCCAGGGGCCGGAGGGGAGGGGAATACAGAAATGCAGGTTTGAGGAACCACCACTCAAAGGTTCAGCCCAGGCCTGGCTCTGTTCCCGAGGAAGCAGGCTGCTCTCTGCACTGGCAGAAAAACACTTATTTCGAATTCCGCCTCCTCCAAAACCCAAACCTGTGTGCCCCCAGGAAAGAAATGCCACAGCCGTGTTTTCTGAATTTACCAAAGAAGAAAACCTCGGTCAAAGCTGAGGTTGAAAAAAAGAGGCCCTCAAGTTTAAAAAAAACACGATAAGCAATCCCCTAAGGAAGTCTTCAGAAAGGAGGGGGTCACAAGCTGCTACTCAGATAAAAGGGGTCGGAAAGCACCTCAGGAGCGCCTTGCCAGCCGAAGCCTCAGCCAGCCAGTCCATTAGAAACATTAGAGCCCAGCCCCTACAAAGAACTAGTTTTCTCTTCTGTAATTGCTCCAGGAGCGTAAACCCTTTAAACAAGTCTGCAGAGGCCGAAGGAGACAGACAGATCGGCAGCAGCCCGACGCTGCCCCTTGCTGGGGGAGCCGGGAAGCGGTTGTAGCCTCGGGTCTAGGGGTGCACAGAACGCTATGAAGGGCACCCAACGCCTACGCAAAGAAAGGGCCCAGCCACCTTACAGACTTGATCAGCCGTGTTTGGGAAGCAGGGGCTTGGAAGCACCGTGCCCACGGCTCACAGAAAAGTGGCTCCCTGTGCAGCTGAGGAGGGGAGTGAATAAAGAGCCATTCCACTAAAAACACAGTAAAACCCAAACTATCATCTTTACGGACTGAACTCTGTGGTCGTCTACAAAAAGCCCTACTGACAGTGCTTCGGGTTTGTGTCCCTAAGGCGAGGACAGTGTAAAGAAACGGGGTGATGCGATGGCACATGCAGGACGTCCATGGGGAGAAGGTGTCAGGTCAGCAGCTCTGGCCCACAGGCCCGTCCCAGGGAGGCTGTAGGTGTACAAGGCAGGGGGGACTCACCCGTGGACTTTGCATGGTGGGGGAGCCCTGCGGGGTGTCTAGTCTGCATTCCTGCTCGGTCACGTTTCTCACGTAATTCCACATCAACGTCCTTGTCCTGGAATCTAGCTTCATGTTGATAATAGGAGACGCGTCCTCCTGGACTAGAATTTAACGGAATGAACACTTAGTGGAGATTGGGACGTAACCCCCCTTTGTCCCCCCCCCCCACCATTGACCTTATAGTTACCATTGAGGGAAGGCATTTGGCAAGCATCAGGGTGGATGGGTATGATTTTTGCTGTTTTTATGGAGGCCACATTCACACGGGCGTAAAAGTAACTGTTTTAAAGGGAACCATTCAGGGACACAAGCCCATGAAAAAGATGCTCAGAATCATTACTTATTAGGGAAATGCCTGTCAAAACCACAGTGAGATGCCGCTTAGCCCGTAGGTCAATGATAGCAATAAACACACCCAGGAAATAATTGTGGGAGGCAATGTGCAGATTTGGAGCCCTCGGTACCCAGGGTGGGAATAAGCTGGGGGCTGTTGTGTGTCTATCTCCTTGAGCAGATTCTTTTTCAAGCATTCAGGACAGGAGAAAGGACAGGGCTGTCCCCTTTCAGTGAGGCCAGCAGTGTAGGATGCAGGGTGGGGCGTGACCCTAAATCATGGGGGAGTTTAATTTTCCCTGTTGAAAAAAATGGGGAAAAGACCCCTGCCCCAACCTTCACTGTTTTTTCAGGATTTCTCCCTTTGCTTTCTCCACACGTATACAAACATTTCCGATGGCTACGTATCACACTATCTTGCAAAGCCACAGTAATCAAACCAGCATGGTACTCACATAAAAAACAGGCTCATCGATCAAGGGAGCAGAACAGAAAGCCCAGAAGGGGGTCTAACGTCGGTGGGCACCTGGCTCCAAATTGCAAACCCATTAGGTCACGGGTGGTAGGCACCCGGCTCTATAACCAGCTGAGACCTCTTTCTGCCTGGCTGACTCTCAGCGGGCCGACTGTACGGCACACCTGCTTCTCGTGTTCTGCTCCCTTTATGATAAGATTCACTCTTCTCTCCCACCTCTGTGCAGAAGGTCTCTCAGTTGGCAGGTTTTAGTAACTTTTCCCCATGTAGGCAGAAGCTCTGCCGCCTCAGGTGGGTTTGGGGATGAGGGCTGGCATTGTAGGACCACCCTCACCTTTGAGTCCCTGATTGGGCTGGAGGATAACCGCTCCCCTTCCCGCCTCAACCACCAATAGCCTCTCACCAGACCGGGTGTTGGAGCACGTGCCTGCACCTACCTACCCAGCTGGGGGTCTCTGCAACATGCTGAGCTCAGTAGCACCAGAAAGGTTGTGAAATGCAGCACAGCGGCCATGTCCCAGCCGCGCAGGTGGACCTAGGCATGCACAGAAGAGACACCAGGTCAGAGGTTAGATTCTAACGGGCAGGAGCCCTCCCTTCTCAGCACCCCTTCTAGGGGTATCTCCAGCAGTTGAAAGGGCTCTGGGGTGGTCCCCACATCCCTATTTGGTCTGCAATATCCCACTGGAGTCTGGTGTGTGGCTACCTTCCTACTCACACACCCCGGGGTCACCTGTCAAAATCAGATCCCCTGCCAGAGCATCAGTAACTTAACACACAGCTGTGATGTCAACTTTGAGCAACCTGGGATTGCAGAAACATTTTCTGGGTTCCTCATGCACATCCTTCCCCACCCACCATCCTGGCCACCACCGGTGCACATTCCTGTAGATCGTAGGGCGGTGGGAGGGGGGCCATGAAAAATCCCAGAGTTGGTATCAAGATTATTTTAAGCTTCTCCTGTCATAAATAGTGGCTGAGTGGGGAGAGAGATAGGCCCCAGTGAAAAGGAGAAGGGATGTGAGATGAGGAAGCCAGCTGACTGCAGCCACTTTGGGGTCGTGTGCTGAGCCAAGCCCCTTGGGCCTGCCCTTTTCCTCTAATCACAAAGGTCCAGTAGCAGGTGTGTGGTATGGGCCATTCTGCCTGCCCATGTCTGACCAAGGATTTTCGCTGCCTCATGGCCCATATCTTCCTGCTAGTGGGCTTTTAAGGTAAAATGAAGTCATCAGAGTGAGTCCTGATACCTTAGGACTGGTGTCCTTATAGGAAGAGGGGATAAGGGCACAGACACACACACAGGGCCGACCCCCTGAGGACACAGGGAGAAGACAGGTCTATACTCCCAGGAGGGAGGCTCAGGTGGGCCAGCCCTGGGTCTCAGAGTCCAACTCTAGGATGGGGGACAATAATGTCTGTGGTTTTAGCTGCCCTGCCTGGGGTATTTGCTTCAACTGCTTGAGTTAACACAGCAGAGCTGCCAGGAATGCAATGGAAGGTGGTGCTGTGTGAGCGCCCAGGGCATCCCTTCACCACCATCTGCATAAGGCTTGGAGCAGACAGCGGGCACCCCTGTCTGCTGCATCAGGTCCAGCGTGCGGAGCCTGGGGGAGGAGCCTGGCTTGGTGCATGGCCCAGGTGTGGCCCTGTGGACAGCCTGACTGTGGGGCTGGCAACAGTGGGGGTTTGTAACGCCCAGGAGTGGGGTGGGGGACACTGGCTAAGGCAGCTGCAGACCTGACCTCTCCCCAAAGGCAGGATGGTCAGTTTTAGGGAGTGAACTGCAGCCAGAGGTCACGAGGGTGCTGCCTGCATGTGGACAGGCTCCCAGATGCTCCCGCCACCTGATGGCATCGGGCCATGTGGACAGATCAGAAGTCCCCATGCTGTGTCCCGACCTCAGGGCCCCCTCGAGGGACCAGCTGCCCTCTTGAGTCCTGAAGTCCTGCATTTGTGTATGAACTTCACGTGCTACACTTCTGCATGCTGGCGGGTGGAAGCTTGCCATGAGTCCCAGAACACGTGTGCGTGTTCACGCCTGACGGCTGTGGCAAAAACTCCACAGGACAGTGCCCGGCCGGAGCCTTAAATGCAAACTGACCAAAGGTGCACCCACCAGCTGTTCGGAACCCCCATTTCCCTCCCTCTCTCACAGGGGGATACAATTCTTGCTCCTTCGGTTCACATGCCCACGGCCACCCTTTTTAAGAAGACTCTCCTTGAACCGTGTGCAAATTTCCAGGTGTTTGGAGGCAAGTCAGTGCCAGCTCTGTGCACCTTCATGGGGCAGAGGAAGGCAGGACCCCACAGGCGCTCAGATAATTGCCAACTCCCCCCAGTCCATTCCCGTGCATCCCCACACATGGGATGTTGAGGGAACCCTAAGCTCACAGGTCACAATTACGTCGACACATGTTTCTGAGCCACAGGATGCTTCAAAAAGCAACCGCCATGTCCTGAACACACCGAAAACTAACCCTTAATTAAAAGAGGTTCCATTCAGCATCTGGCATCTCTGTCCTTTCTTCCTTGGGGTCCCCAAAGACACATCTCTGAAGAGGCGCTCCCTCCATGCTTGGGGACCTGCCCTGTGTGTACGTGGCACCCTGACACCTTTTAGCAGAGTCCACATTCTGTGAATTTGTTTCTGACGCTGGCCGCTGCTTTTCTTAGCTGTCAGCTTTTTGGAGGTCACAGGAATGAAGATCTGAGATTTCAGGGTGCAGCCCGCTGGCAGTCGGAGGGTCACCCATCATCAGAGACTACAGATGATGGCCTCACCTCGTGCAGGGTGGAGGGACAGCGGCATCAGTTCAATCCTGGCCAGGCGAGACCCCACAGTCTTTCCGGGACCTCCCTGGGAGCTTGGGGAAAAGGCACCTTATGGGGGTTGGAGCTTGCACCCCCACAGGACCTGGGCCATCAATGGCAGGCATGCTGGCTTCTGAGACCAACCGTTGATGACTTTAATATTGAACCAACCCAAAGGGAGATATTTCATGTATAGGTAAGTGCACAAGGAAGGACGCAGACGCCGCGTACATATCGCCAGACGCCGGACCTCTTACGCTGCTGCGATGGTTTGTAAATGCTTCGTGGCTTCCTCCGGAGCCCCTTCTGCCATTCCTCCTTGTCAACCAGCCTTAGTTAAACGCCCACCCTGCCTTCCCATGAGTGACTGGTACCGCTTCCCTGCTCCCCACCGCCCCCCAACCATCCAGCAAGCCCACCCAGCCGCGGGACTCTGCAAAGCAACTGACCTGAAAAGAGGACAGAGTCAGCTCACCACTTGTCTCCCTGGGAACCTCTCTCCTGGGCCGTTCTGATGGTTCTTAAAGGTGTCCTGTTGCCTGGGGGGCGGTACCGGACACTCCAGGGGCCCCTCTGCCGTCCTGCAGGCAGCCGGCACAGTATCAGCCACAAGGACAGAGAATGCAAGAAGGCTCAGCTCTCTGTGAGGCCATGCCCCCTCCCCCTCTCTAGCTGGTATCTTTTTAAAGAGCCGGTCACATGTCAGCACCTGTCAGCTGAGTGTCCGTCACCATGCATGGCCAGGCAAGGCTTATCTCGGCTGGACAGGAAATGTTCTAACCCAGCCGGGCGCCTGACTCAAGCAAGCAGCCAGCCCATGTTTTGATCAATGTTGAGGTTCCGCTTTTTCCAGGGGGGATGTCTCTGGCCATGGGGCCACCCGGTCCCTCGGGGTGCTCGGGGCCATGGGGGCTCCATCCTCTGTCCCACGTCCTGGAGATTTCCAGCCACCACCCAGGTGTCTGCACGCCTTCTCTCCTGCCATGGGAGAAGATTCCTTTCCTAGGTCCCGAGTTCTCCTATACGTGGGTGCAATTTTGGTCCAGGTCCACGTCCCTGAGGGTGCTCTGAGCTGGGGCCTGGGCTTGGCAGCTCCTGGGGTGCCCCCACAGCCCCACCTTTAGTGTAAAGCGACCTTCTCTGCCTGGCAGCACACACCCTCCTCCTCGGGCAGCACACATCTTCCTGGTTCCTGGAGATTCCTGGGACTGGCCGATCTCCACCCGCCCCGAGGGGATATAAGCCCCCAGAAGACATGGTCCCTGCATCCCAGTCCCACCCAGAGCAGGAACAAAGGTGTCCTGCGAGCCAGGAATCTGTCCTCAGGTCTCCAAGGAGATCGTGGCTTATTCAGACTGCTCCCCCGACACCCAAGCCCCAGGCTGGGATGAAGGACTTGGAGCTCCCCATCCCTGGAATTCCCACAGCCCCCTGGAGAAAGAGCTGTTTCAATCCTACTTTATAGATGCAGTGGGTTGAGCACAGAGAAGTCAAACAAGTGGCCCAAGGCCACAGAGCAGTACAGGAGGACCCCAGGTTTGCACGAGAGTCTGAGCTCAGCCAGGTGCCAAGACCCAGAGGGGCTGGGGATACAGAGATCCTCCCAAAAGGCCAGATCTTAGGGGCACCGCAGGAGAACCTTGCTCCCAATGTCCCTGGGGAGGCACAGAGGAGGGGCATGGAGGAGGTGACCCCCGAGATGGCATCAGGGTCATTTCTGATGCTGGGGCCCCACGTACGGCAGATTCTCAGCCGCAACTTTTGGAAAAACCTAATTAAACCCAGAAAACTTCCCCACAGATGCATGAACCACCCTTTCGCACAGCCAGGCTGGAACCCCAGTGTATCCACATTCTCCAGATGAACTGGGATGTGTCCTCAAGCTGGAGGCTGTTTGGGAGCGGTTGTCACCTGAAGTTCATCCCAAATGCACCTGCTGACGGGGAGCCCACCTGGGTTAGGTCATTGCCTCACCAGAGAAAAAAATAAACCCTCCACCTTCATGCCAGGACCTGCACCCCACATGTGGAGCCCGGAGCCCACTGACAGCTACCTTGACGTTGAACCAGGAAAATGAAAAGTAAGTTCTCTGAATTTAATGTGTATCTGCCTTTACAAACCTCGCATCCTGGGGTTTCAGTGCCAAGATGGGTGTATGCCAGGGGAGAGGGGTGCTGGCCAAACCCACCCTGGGGTCTGTTATCAGAGGGCCTGGAAGGCAGGATGAAGGGTCCTGATTTTAAACGGTTGCATCAAAAAATAGACAAAGGAGGACACGTGGTAGGGATGGTGTTGGTCTGTGGAGCCTAGAGGTCAGCTGGGTTTCAGAGACCAATGTATTTGGGCATGTGCTGGGGGCAGGGGAGGAGCTGAAGGCGGGTTGGGGCAGAACTCGGGGCAACGGGCTTGGGCCGGGGGGAAGCCACACTCATTAGCAGGCTGTGGTGGGTGAAATTGTCCACATCCTGGTCCCAGGAACCGGGAAAGGGACATGACCCGAAACAGGGCTTTGCAGGTGGGATGAAGTGCAGGATGTGAGGCGAGGTCGTCCTGGGGAAGGGTGGCCTTCAATGTAATGACAGGTGTCCTCGTAAGAGACAGAAGGGAGGTACAGACACAGAGGAGAGGCCATGTGGAGATGGAGGCGGACATGGGAGGGACGTGGCCACACGCCCAGGGCCTCCTGGAGCCCCCAGATGCTGGCAGAGGCAGGAAGGAGCTGCCCCTGGGGCCTGTGGAGGGAGTGCAGCCCTGCCCACCTGGACCTCAGACGTCGGGTCTCCAGGGCTGGGAGGACGAACGTGTGGTGTCAGAGCCCCATCTATGGTGGTCCACTGTGGCCCCCACACGTGTGCCACACTGCCCTGCCCAGCCCAGGGCCACCCTGCCCACACATCCAGAGGCAAATTCTCCCCCAAAGAGTCCGGCTTCTCCCCTTCCCAGCCAGCACCTCCCGTGTTCCTGGGCCCCTGGCAGAGGCAGGAATTTTTCTCTGCCTCCCTCCAATGCCCCTGTGGCACCGAGAGCCTAGGACGGAGCCCAGTAACCATCTGCTGAGCACGCACGTGAACTGTCTTTGTGGGGACCCAGTAGGGGCGTACGGAGTTGTGCCAAATGTGAAACTGCCCCGGCAGGCACCTGCTCAGTCATGGCCCTTCCGGGGGGAGATGACATGAGATGGTTGGCCTCACCCACACTGCGCCCGGCTCACCCTGTTGAGCAAGGCTGCAGGCAGCACCTTCTGGAGACACCGCCTCTGTGGCCGTATCCCCGACAGACAGCACAGAGGCAGCGTCACGCGAGCCACAAGGAGGCTCCGCGCCATGCATCTCTGCCTGTCTGGCCAGCACTGGCTGCCCAAGCAGGGATGGGATGGTGGGGCCCTTCTTCCAGAGACAACAGGACCCGGAACCAGGAGCCCTGGAGGCCAGGATGCAGTGGGGGCCTTGGGCAAGCACGCCCATCTGTGCACATCATGTCCTGGCAGGGCCCCGTGCTGCATCCAACAGGGTGTGGGGCAGGTCCCCAGTGGGACCCCAGGAGTCCAGGGGCACATGGCCCTGAGCAAGGGGTGTCTGGTGAAATAGGTTTTTTATTCCCGTGTCACTTAAATGCAGTCAGTGGCTGCACTGCCAGGCACACAGCTTGGGGCCTTTCTCTGTGTGCCTGGCATATGACGGGCTGTTTGCAGATGCCAAGAACCCATGCTTGGAGTCCCCAGCGCCTGCCTCTGACACCAGTTTCCAGCCCTGCGCCGCCCCCCTTCCATCTGACCAGCCAGCAGGAAACCAGGGCTTCCACCCACCCCCATATCAGGGTCCCTGGATTACCAGCCCTGTTGCTAGACTTGGGAGGAGGCTGGCTCGGTTCTCCAGTTTATCAGAAAGGATGCAAATCCAGGACAGCCAGCCAGGGGATGCACAGGGCGCAGCACTGCAGGGGCCCAGGGCCTCCACGGCTGGCCTCCGGCATGAGTTCTGGGGTCTGAGAACAGACACCATTGCCTTTGTCTGTATGTCTGCACCAGAGTCTTGTCAGTGACTCATGTTCGGCAGCCCCCTTATCGTGTTCCCTGAGCCCCCCACCCCACATCTGCTCCCATCCCTGATCCTGCACGGGAGCTGAGGCCCCCCACTTTGAAGATCCCTCTGTGCTGACTGCATGAACATGCAGGGTGCAGAGTGTCTCCACCCCCTTCTGGAGGACTCTCCCAGGCTCAGAAGCCCCCTCTCACTCATTGCCGAAGCCCATCGCCCCCATCTGCCTCCACGCTGCAGACATCCTCAGACCCCAGGGCCCACAAATTTCTCCAGCCTCCAGACCTCAATTTCAGAGGTATGTGTGGGCTCGGGTCTCTGCAGGCTGGGGGTCCGGGTCTGGGCATTCCCCTGGGGACACGGGATTTTGCACAGTTCCCACCCGCCTTCCCTGACTCCCCTCCCTCACCCCCCAGGACCCTGGCCGCATCTCCTCCTTGGGATTCGGCCCCTGGACCTGCAGGGCAGGACCAGGAAGCTCTGGAAGCTGCTGTCTGCCTGGTCCCCAAGTGCCCCTGGTAGCTAGTGTTTGACGGACAGACACAGGATACACATGGGGAAGGCCAAAGGTCACATCCGAAACCCAGACCCCAGGTAGGTTCGCTCTCTACCCAAACCCCACGCCCTGGGGACATCTCTTCCCTCTGAAGTCCCCTGGCACTGTGGCACCAGCTGTCATACTGTTGGGCTATTATTCTCTGGGACACTCAGTGTCTGAATGTTGGCCAGTTACTGCTCATGAGGGACAGAATGACACCCCCAAATAGTCCATGTCCTCACTCCCATATGGGGGACAGAATAAGGTCCCCCAAAATGCCCATATCCTCACCCTGTGTGTGGACAGAATAAGGTCCCCAAAAATGCCCATATCCTCACCCTGTGTGTGGACAGAATAAGGTCCCCAAAGATTCCATGTCCTCACCCATGAGTTTGTGAATATGTGACCTTATGTGGCTAAAGGGACTTTGCAGAAATGACAAAGTTCAGGATCTTGAAACGGACAACCCTGGAATATTCGGCTGGGCTGACATGGTCACAAGGGTCCTAATATGGGGAGGTGAGAGGTCCATGAGCCATGAGATGGTAGATCTATGCGGCGTCACATCACTGGGTTTGGGCCATTTGTTAGCAAACCCATCGTCTGCCGGGCAGCAGCTGATGGTGGGAGTGGATAAGCAGCGTGTCCCCACTGGGATAGCTGAGGCTCTGTGACCAGATGCAACCCTCTGTGAGGAAGGTCCCCTGCTCCCCAGGGGATAGAGAGGGCTCATCACTGGGTCGGGATCGAGGGCATGGAGCAGCCCCTCCAAACGCAAGCATCTTTGCAAAAATCACTGTTTAAGTACAAAAATGGAAAGCTATACAAATGCTCAAAACAGAACAAAAAATGGCTTCCAGAATGTCTGGGGGTGTCGGCATGAGAAGTCAGGGGCTTGTGGGGGCCTCCGTCACTTCCTCCACTGTTAAGACCTCTTCATTGTCCCCTCTGCCTGCGCTGGGTGGGAACTTCTCCCAGATCATCTGAGGACAGAAAGGATGGGTGTCCGCTGGTCAGGAGCCCGTGGGCAGTGGCCAGCCAGAGCACAGTAAGTGAGGGGTTCTGAGGTGCACTGCACCTCGGATCTCATCTGCCCTGGGACAGCCACTGATGGGGCAGGAGGGAACAGGGCAGGTGGAGGAGGTGCTAAGGTCCTGGGGTCCATGACGCTGGGGTCCCTCAGCTGGGCTCGGACACTACAGGGCAGCCCCAGGGTCCCTTTCCCCTCCGCCATCCTGTTCCCACCCTGTATGCACCTGCTGGTCGGACTGATGGTTATCCGTCAGTTTATCTTTGATCCGTGGAATCGGTGGAAATAACTTGTACTTCCCAATGACCCTATGAGACAAAGACGGCGTGAGGGGCAGGCCCGGGAGCTCATCTCCTTCTTGCACCAAAGGGGATGCTCTGCCGGGCCTCAGGAGAAGCATCTGGGCTTGTCTCTTCAGGAAAAGCATCACAGGTGGTCGGACGGCAGCCTCAGATCTCTGTGCAGAGCCTGCTGCCGAGAAGTGATTGTCCTGTGCACGTGGGGTTTGCTCGACAGCCCTGCCGTGGCACCCCCACACCCTGCCTGGTGCTGACCCCCTGGTATAAGCCTCCCACAGAGGAGCCTCCAGACAGTAGGGGTGGACATGCCTCTGCAGGCTGGGATCCCAGGAGGCCTTCCGGGAAGAGGGCAGGCTTTCTGGACCCCGGAGGGTCCAGTAAGATGTATGGGGGCACATTGATGGCTGGGGGTGGGGTGGCACTGGAAAGAAGGGGATGCACAGGAGGCCGATGGGGACCCCCATGAGTGCAGCTGACCCTGAGGAGGTGCCATGTCCGGCTGCAGTGTGGGGCCAGGAGAGTGGGCCTCACATGGCCCACGGCACCAGAATGGGGCCCCGTCTGCTGCCAGCCGGACCACGTGGCTCAGTGGCTCCACCACGGGCCATCTGAGTTCCACCCAAGCCCCACGCCGGGCCACTCCATCACTCTCTGTTGCTCCAGCTCTCTGACGTGCCTCCCTCTCCAAGGCAGGTTTTCCTCTAAAAAACCCGTGGGCGAACCCACTGCTGGCTCCTCCTGGACCTTCGGCAGGCGCGTTTCTCCTGAGAAACTGGCAGGCCTGCGAAGGAGCCTCTCTCGTCTCTCTCATCTGCAGGGCTGACACCAGCCCCTTCCTGGGATTACCTTTTTAAAAGGCAGCCGAGCAGCAGGGCGCATGCGAGGGTTCCCAGGACCACCAGCACATACACGTGCACGAGGCTGGCTTCTGTTTCCTCGGAGCCTGCGGAGAGAGGGGGACCCACCAGCCCCCTGGAGCAAACTGTCCGCACACAGCTAGCTCACCCCGTTCCATATTTCCCTTCCTTTCCTGAGATTTCCTTAGTTCCTGGCTATGGAAAGATGCTCAGACCAGGAGGAAAATCTAATCAAAGGTGGTACCCAGTCCTGAAACCATCAAGAAGATGCTCACGACGCAAACCAACCCCATGAGAATGAATCCCAAACATATAAAATACTCTGAGCCCATGACTCCCCAATTTAAAGATGGACCGAAGCCCCCCTCTCCAAATTTCCAGGCAAACAGTTTAAACAAAGCTGAGTCACATCCAAGATTAGGCTTTTACTGTTGCCTATCAACTGTAATATGCACTTTTTACATTAATTGTTGTAATAATAGGACACATATTATCTGTTTGTATTTAAAACTCTAATTTAGAAACACAATTCTATCCAGGTTGTTTCTAACCAATTTTTGTATCTGCTCTGTGGGAGTTTCTACATGGACAGATAAAATGTGCCCTGTGTTGAAAACTCTATTCCTGGAAATGTCTGGGGTTTTTTTTCCTTTTTTGTCCCTTTTTTAAGCCCATTTTTAAATTGAGTTGTTCGTGTTCTTGTTGGCTGCTCTGAGTACTTTCTGTATGTTGGATTCTTGGTCCCTTATCGGATATACGACTTGCCCACATCTCCCGTTTCGTGAGTTGCCTCTGGAAGATCTGCGTGTCCTTTGCTGCCCAAAAGTTTTGCATTTTGATGAAGTCGGTTTCACTATTTTTTTTTCTTTTTTTGTGTCTGCTTTCAGTGTCACAGCTAAGAGCCCACGATTGCAAATGGAAGGTTGCAAATCGATTCCTTAGCTGCCCGTGGTCGCTTATGATTTCCTGCTAAATTAACTATGTCATATCAATTTTACACTGGCCATTACAAAAGTCATTGATCTTGAATCTGGAAAACCAAAAATACTGTAGACATCACCTTGCTGGCTGAAATACTACATTTGAAAATGTGGGAAGGGTGCCGGGGTGCCGGTAATGTAGCTTCCAAGCACATGATGGGTGTTAAAAACATCTAACTCTTTGCTGGCTTGTAAAAGTCAGTGGTAGGAAGCCTGCCGGGTGTGTCTGCATTAGTTCTCTGGACGAGCTCTGTCCTGATGAGGAGGAAAGAGCTGCAGAGCTGAGATAGGTGTCCCCTGACCAGGAACCGTGGCAGGTGGCTGTTGGGACCAGGACCAACTGATGGCTCCCAGGTGGGCAGGCGCCTTAGGAAAGAGGCTAGGTGCCTGCCCTCCTTTGGAGTCACCTCATCAGCCTTTGTGGAGTCCCTGGGGAGCGAGGCCGCCCAAAAACCCTGTCTCCCTGAGCTCCCCGGGAAGCAGCTCCCAGGTCACATCGGGCAGTGAGTCCCTGCAAGCACGTACCGAACTCCACGGGTCTGCTCCACGCACTCCACTGCTGGATCCGTGAGTCTGAGGTCCTCACCCTCACCGCATGTTTCCCCCTGGGCTGCGGGCTCGGAAAGTTGTATTTATTTTCTGCATCACCAGACACCTCAATCTTTGGAGGAGATGGAAAGTAAGGGTTGTCAGCTGTGCTCAGACAACGAGGGCATCAAACGGCACGTCCAAAACAGAGGAGAGATGAACACGCTCTCCCGTCTTTATAGGACACAAAGGCCATTCTGTAAGGGAACCAAAGCTACTATTCATTCATGCTACGCGGCTGCTGTGCTGTCCAGAAATAGGTGGTTTATAATGTTAACATGTGTCTCTGTGTACGGAAGGCTCGGGAGGAATGCTCAAGTGCAAAACAATGACAGATTCCTCCATCCACTGAGAAAACCATTCCTGGGGACTCAAGCATTGTGAACATACATGCTGAAAATACGCAGCAGCCACAGCAGATGAAACAGGCCAGGAGAGGGGGGAGGTCCCACCTACTGACACTCAGGTAACCCAGTTAAAATTCCTCACCAGACGGAGGAGGATTCCGAGCTCACAGAGGTCCTGACCCTTGATCAAAAAGGGCAATAATGATCTACAGGTGCTCTGGAGGAAATAAACCTTAATCTTAAACCTTAACGTCATCTCGGAGTTATGCCTGTCCCCAGGCATGGCCACCATCTGCCAGCTGTGCATGGTGTGTGTGCCCATTTGACTAATGGACAGTTACACCATAGGGTGGGATGTTGGTCACAGTTCCACTTACCAGCTGATTTCCACTATGTTGCGTGGTGCTCTAAAAAAAAAAAAGGTGAGTTCATTTTTCTGCATTTGGGGTTTTTCCCAGGTTCTGCCTCGTCTCCCTTTGATGCAGCTGGGAAAACAGGATGGCCAAGGGAGGGCTGACCCCCCCCATGCCCGTGGTGCTGGGCTCCGCCTGCCCGGACGGTGGGCGCCTGTACCAGGAGGATCTTCCCTGCCAGCCCTGTGCTGCTCCATCGTGCCCCGTCTGAGCCACCGCCCGCGGCCCGGCCCTCTCGGGGCCCCAGGGCTGCTGCGGTGCCCCCAGGAGGAACAGTGTCCACTCACCTGCCTCTGAATGTCCAGCTGGTACTGGAACTCCCAGCCGGTCAGGCTCTGCAGGGTCCTGGGCTTCTCCCAGCGAATGAGGCAGTGCGATCCGTTGCAGTGCACGGTGACATTGTGGGGCGGGCTGTATCTCTCTGCAATGAGGACCCGGGTCACACCCCTGAGCCCGAGAGCTTCCTCTGGGCCACACAGGAGAGCCCCGGCCCTGCCGGCCAGCTCCCCGAGGCCACCGGGAGGCGTGGTGATGGGGTGGGGTGTTGGGGGGCCGGCTCCCCTGGGGATGAGCACCAGGCTGCTCTGGGGGTGGGGTCCGGAAGACCTGGGGAGGGAGGCGGTGACGTGCTTGGAGGGATGCTCCTTTGACATGTCGTTAGTGGCCTGGAGCACCCTATGGATCAGCAAGCCTGCAGGTAAAAGACAGGCTGGCTTTGCAAGAGACTGTGTGGGCACAGGGGTTGTCCTGCAGGGGCCAGCCTGGGACAGAGCCCTGGAGAGAGAAAGAGCTGGAAAGAAGGGCTGATACCAGGATGATGGCTCAGGATGGGAAGAGGTGCTTGGGCTCTGACAGACGGTTCCAGATTCTCAGGGGAGATGGAGGAGGTGGCATCTGTGCAGGGCCAACAGTGTGCACCTGTGAGCCGGCCAGTGGGCTGTGGGGAGGGGCGGCGTACCCAAGGCAAGGGAAGTGGGTAAAGACGGGGGTCTGGGGACATGGGGTCCTCATGGGGCTGGCAAACGCATGGTGTCTGGCTGGGGGAGTGGAGGCATGTCTGCACAGGTCAAGAAGCCCCTGTCCTTCAATGGTAAATAGACGTCCGCCTGTGGCCCCTACAGTGGCTTCAGCAACAAGCAGAATGGGAGTTCTGCATCTGGTCCCACCCTGCTCAGCAGCCATTCCATCCTAAAACGCGAGCCTTGGCTGGAACCCTTTAAGGGACTCTTGGACATGGCCGTGTGAATTCCCTTCCTTGGGGAATCTACATTCCCATGCATCTGATCACATTTCACATTCAGATTTCGAGGCACTGTCCCTGGCTCTCCGGGTTTCCAAGCTCCAAACAATGAGAAGACCGCCCATTGTGCTGTGATCTGGACTCAGGATGCTGCACCCAACGCTGATGGGTGAGTTTTTTCCTTCGCCCCACCCAGCAATTCTCTCTAGCTGGGTGTCCTACCATACAAGTCAATTCTGACACCGTCTACCTGGAGGTGGCATCAGACCCCACAGGGGAAGGGCTCCGTCCTACAAGACTGACCCCCCGACTTCAGATGCCAATCCCAAATCCAGGATGTCTCCTGCACTTCTGATCCAACTCCTCCTTGGGTTCAACTGAGTTGCTAGAAGGGCTCCCAGAACTCAGAGGAATAGTTTACCCATTAGATCGCGGGTTTATTGTGAAAGGATGTAACTCAGGAACAGCCGAATGGAAGACATGCAGGGGGCCAGGCGGGGGAAAGGGGCATGGACCTTTCACACCCTCTCTGAGGGGCTAAGTTCCCGAATCTCCACGCCTTCACCAAACCAGAAGCTCTAGAAACCCTTTTAGTTTTATGGAGGCGTCATTTGTAAGCATGACTGATTAAATCCTTGGCCACTGGGATGCATTCAATCCCCAGCCCTTCTCCCCACCCCAGAGGTCAGGGGGTGGGTGGGGCTGAACGTTCCACCCTCTGATCCTGGGCTTCGTTCCCCTGGCAACCAGCCCCCTTCCTTGGGGGCTTTCTCAGGGTCACTTCTTCCCGTAACAAAAGACACCTTTGTCGAACTCCTTCTCAGGAAATTCCAACTGTTTTAGGAGCTGGGAGACAGGAACCGGGACAAAGAGCAAATATACATTATTATAAATTACGATATCACAGGATTGTATTTTGTATAATAGTTGGATTTCTTGGGTTAAATAAAAATGCTAGGAACATGCGGGGAGAAAACAGATGGGGATTCTTTTGGCAGGAGGGTGGCGGGATTAAGGCCCCGGGAGAGGTTTGTCCTGCAGCGAGGAATCGCAGACAGCAGGGGTCAGGCTTGGCCAGTACACCTGCCCCTGGCTAGGGACACACCTGCGCAGCTTCCCCAACAAGTGAGCCCAGAGGCTGGGGACTCGTGGCCTCTGAAGGTTAACCCAAGAGTTGGCATTTGCTGAACTTTCCTCTGAAACTTCCCAATGACATCAACCTCGCCCTGCTCTGGGAGTGGGTGGGATTAGCCACGGGGACCTGGGAATTCTTAAGGGATCCTAACAAGTTATCTGTGTACCCAGTAAGCAATCTGGGAACCTCTGAAGCCCAGCTGGAGGATCTGGTCTAGAATCTGCCTGCTTGCTTTTCTGGGGGGTGACTTTCTAATTTGGGGACATGACCGAGTCCCCCAAAATGCAAGAGAAAGCTGTGCTGCTACCACATGGGGGAGGTCCATGAAGGGACCAGCACCCCCTCGCCACCTACCTAACCTTCCCACTCTTTGGTCCTGGGGTACAGGGGCTGCATATACAGGCTGTGTTAGTGCCAGACCCCTGGGGACTCCGGGGGGAGTGGAAGGGCCCACGCATCCTGAGGGGTGGGGGCCGCCCCACGGTGCAGTCTGATCTTGTCACTGCTTTCGATTCAGAGTAAAAGGATTGGGGAGACACTGTGGCCGACCTCTGTCCTGGGTGTGTGGCCATATTCTTTCATAGGACCGAAAGGAGCAAGCAAAGGGATGCATCCCTAATTTTGGCAAATGCTAAAACAAGCAAGTAACATGAGTATATTGCAGTGGCTTGGACACTTCTGTCCACCCAGAACCTCAGAAGGTGACCTTATTTAGAAATAATGTCAGACATAATTAAGGATCTTGAGATGAAGTCAGCACAGATTAAGGGGAGGCTTAAATCCTGTAACTGGTCTCCTTAGAAGAGGAGACACACAGACACAGAGGAGAAGCCACGTGGAGATGGAGGCAGGGACCGGACCAATGGGTCTACACACCAAGAATTCCTGATGTCACCAGAAACTAGGACAGAGGCGTGGAGCAGAGAATCTTTAGAACGCCCACAAGGAAGTAACCCTGACAATCCTTTGCTTTTGGGTTTCTGGCCTCCATAACTGTGAGACAGTACATAATTAAACATAATTTCCATCATGTTAAGCCTTCCAATTTGTCGTTCGTTACGACACCCCCAGGAATCTTATGCAGATTTCAACACAAATTCTACTGGATGTATTCACCACAATAAATCACAAGTCCTTGTCCTCACCTATTGCCTTTAATGACAAAATGGAATCGAAGAACTGGATTCTTGTTCTTTGACTGGTACCATTAACCAGGAAATAATTATGGAAAGTTAATCCCGAGAGGTCTTTGAGGTGACATCCCACGTGGATTTTCAAGTCTTCTACATAATGAGGACACTCTCTTTCGATTTTTCTCCTGTAAGATTCCAAATACTTTGGGATCAGAAGATTCAGGGCATTTCACCCCCCTTCCCTGTATTCTTTGTGGTTTTTGTACATGAGGTCAACACTTACCTGGAGTCTCGTATATATAAAAAATATTGGACATCATCGGGGGCTGCTTGACCCTTTGCCCAAGTGCAGTTCATGAAATATGCATTGTAGATAGAACAGGAGAAGTTTTGAGCAGCTGTGCCCTCCTCACCTGGGAAAAGGCAGAGATAAAATATGTTATGCATGAGAATTAAAAGGGGATGGAGCAGATGGTTTCATGGTTTGAATGTCTGCCAAGCATTCCAAGAAAAATAAATAGATATCCTTAAACTCTTCCAGTAAATACAAGAGGTAACACTTCCAAATTAATTTTATAAAGACAGCATCACACCGATGCCAGAGCCAGACAAGACACAGGAAAATTACAGGCCAAGATTCCTAATAAAATCATGAACAAAATACTAGAAAAACAAATCCGAACAGCACATTAGAAGGATTGCATACCATAACCAGGTGGAAGTTATCCGTGGATGCAAGGATGATTCACCATGTGCAAATCAACTGGATTTGATAATCAGCTACATTAACAGAATGAAAGAGGAAAAACCACATAATCATCTCAAAAGCTGCACGAAAAGCACTTGACAAAATTCAATATCCATTCATGATAAAAACTCAATAACGTGCACAGAGAAGGAAATTACCTTAACATGATAAAGCCTACATATAGGAAAAGCCAACAGATAACATCATACTCAATGGTGAAAAACTGAAAACTTTCCCTCTAAGATCAGGGATAAGACAAATGTATGTTCTCTTGCCATTTCTATTCAACATAGTACTGGAAGTCATGGCCAGAGCAATTAGACAAGAAAAAGAAATAAAGCCACCCAAACTGGAGAGGAACAACTAACATTCTCTCTGTTTACACATAATGTGGTCATACATGTAGAAAACCATAAAGACTAAACAAAGAAAAGTTATAACTAACCAAAAATTCAATAAAGTTGTGGGATACAAAATTAAGCTATGAAGATTGGTGGCATTTTTATTCACTAACAACAACCTATCCAAGAAGGAAATCAAGAAAACAACCCTGTTTGCTATAGCATCAAAAAGAATAAAATAAACAGTAATAAATGTAACCAAATGCGTGAAAGGCTTTTACAGTGAGTGTTATAAAATATTGATAAAAGAAATTAAAGAATATGCAGGTAAATGGAAAGGCATCCCATGTTCATAGATGGAAAGAATATTGTTAAAGGAGCCACACTACCCAAAGTGATCTATATATCACTTCAGCCAAAGTCCCAATGGCATCCCTTACAGAAATGGAGAAAAACAACCCAAAAGTTCATACAGAACTGCAAAAAGACTTCAAGTAGCCAACGTAATCTTGAGCAAGAAGAACAAAGGAGAATCAGTACACTGTCTGATTTCAAAATATATTGCCCATCTACAGAAATCATAATACTGTGGGACTGGAATAAGAATAGACAGAGATAATGGGACAGATTAGAGACCCAGGAGTAAATCTGCACACTTCTGGTCAACGAATCTTTGACAGGAAGGTCAAGAACACACAAAAGAGGAAAGATTGCCTGTTCACTGAGTGATTGTGGGAAAGTTGGATATTCATATGCAGGATAATGAAACTGGATTCCTATCTCACACCCTATACGGAAGTCAAGTCAAAGTAGATTAAAGACTTAAATATAAGGCCTGAAACTGTAAAAATGCTAGAAGAAAACATAGGGAAAAGGCTTCTTGACACTGGTTTTGGCAATGATTTTTTTGGATATGACACCAAAAACACAGGCAACAAAAAACAAAAGCAGACAGTTGGGATTGCATCCGACTAAAAGCTTCCGCACAGCAAAGAAAGTTTCCAAGAGTATGTAAAGGCATCCTATGGAATGGCAGCAGTTACTTGCGAACCATAGATATCTGATCGGGGGTTAATATCCAAAATATTCAAGGAGCTCAAATAACTCAACAGCAAAAACAAACAAACAAAAAACCCCAAATCTGATTAAAAAACAGGCAAAGGGTCTGAATAGGTATTTTCCCAAAGAAGCCGTACAAATGGTCAACAGCTACATGAAAAGATGGTCAACATCATTCATCATCATGGAAACGCAAATCAAAGCCACAGGGAGATATCAACTCACACCTGTTATGATGGCTGTTGTCAAAGAGATGAGATAATGAGTGTTGGCAAGGATGTAGAGAGAAGGACCCTTTGTCTGAGAATGGAAATTGGTGCAGCTATTCAGGAAACCATGGAGGTTCCTTAAAATAATCAAAATAGAATTACCATGTAATCCAGCCATCCAACTTCTGAATCCAAAGGAAATGAACTCTGGATCCGAACGTGATGTATGCACCCTGTGTTCACTGTATAGTTCTTCACAACAGACAAAACATGAACAACCTAAGTATCCATACACCGGTGAATGGATAAAGAAGGTGTGGTGCATATATAGAACGGAATATTATGCAGACATAAAAAGAAGGAAATCCTGTCATCTGGGACAATACAGAGCCACCCAGAAGATATCATGCTAAGTGAAATAAGTCAGAGAAAGAAAAATACTGTATGATCTCACTCATGGGGAATCTAAAATAGACAAACTCATAGAAACAGAGAGTAGAATGGTGGTTGCTGGGGGTCAGGGTGAGGGATAGAAGATATTAGTCACAGGGTACACAGGTTGTTTTACAAGACGAATGTATTCTGGAGATCTAAAGTACAGCATATTATTAATATATATAGTTAATAATAACATACTGCTCACTCATAATTCACTGAGAGTATATTTCAAGCACAAAAGATAATAAAAGAAAATGACAAGTAGGTGACATGATGGATACAATCAAAGGCTTGATTGTAGCAATCATTTCTTACTGTATATGTATATTAGAAACATAAAATTCCACACCATAAACATGCATAATTCCTGCATGTCAATTATATTTCCATAAAGCTGAAAAAGGGTAGATCCACCTCAATGCTAGTTGGGGGTACAGAGGGGTCACTGTGATGCTTTCCTTACCTGGGTTAGGGTAGACCAGCTTTTCTGAGATCAGTCTTTGGCTGATATTTGCTGTAACCATGAGTGTGACACCTCCATGGAGAGAAGAGTCTGGAAATTTGCAGCGACATTCTTTGTCCGTAAGCTAAAAAGTTAAAACCAGCCAGTGAATTAGGAAAACAGGCTTCTTTCCACTCAGCTTTATGCCCCTTGCTCTTACATCAACCCTGTGACACCATCTGCCTCCCCTTGTGAAATCTCCCCCATACACCTTTTCTGGGGTGATGCCTTGCAGGCCAGCTTGAAGGTGGGAGCCCAACCTGATGGTCTATAGCAGCATTTAGAAGGTCGGAATACAGCTCACATTTCAGGGATCCTGTTAAAGAGCAGATTCCTATTCGGCTAGTCCCAGAAGGGGGCCTGCGAATCTGCATTTGTAACAAGTTCCCAGGGGATGCTGGGTTACCACGTTTGAGCAGCAAGATCCCGCATCGCTGTACACTTTGTGGAGCTTAACGTATCCTCTTTTAAGTTATTGAGTTTTCTTGTCCTATCTCATACCCACCAGCCTCCCACAGGCTTCATGCTTACATTGCATCCAAGTCCGTATGTTTCCCATGTTTTCACTGAACGGTCAGGACTGATGCCATTTCTTTCTGAGGATTAAGTCTACCATGTGGGTGATCTCTGATGGATCAACTGACCAAAGGCTGCCCTTCCATGCAGGCAACGCAGGAAGTTCCCCTAAGCAACACCCGCTGAAGGGGAACAGAAGTCCGTAGGTCGCAGAATAACCATTTGTTTTTCTCCTGATCACTGCTGTTGGAAATTTCATCCCACTAAAAGATATCCCTGAGAATTCTGGGAGCATCCCAGTGTCTGCTTGGGACCTATCCCTGCTCCCTGGGTCTCTCCTCCTACCAAGCCAGCCCCATTTCCTGTCCCTTGGGCAGCCAAGTGCCCTTGAGGGTCCCACCCCCTTAAGTCCCTATAGCTTCTGCTGGGTCTGACCTCACAGAAGCTCTGAGCTGTGCATCTCGAGCTGTGCCTCTTAGACATGTCCCCAAGCCATGCACGTGTGTTTCATTTGTACCTGTTATCTTGTTTTTAGCTCGACAAGAGCGGCGTAAGGGGTACCGACTGCGCACATCACATCCATCTTACCATTATTGTGATTGGTCCTTTTTCCTTGTGAAACATCACACATTCCACGTAGGTGGCATTTTCTTGGCAGTCCCAAGTCAACGTCATTCTCCTGGGGTCGAACTTCATCTTTAGACTGGGGATCGGCTCTACTGCTGGAAAATCTGAGAGATGTGGTCCCTGGATGCAGAAATTACTCTTTTCCCATCTCCACTCCCCCAAACAGACACGTCCCATGTCTTGAAAGCAAAGATCAGGGCTGGGACAAGCTGTCGCCCCTTCTCTGCTCCCAGGAGGTCCCAGGACATTGGCGCATCCTCAGAACCACCTTCCTTTCCATCTCTCCTAGCCCTTTCTCCAAGCAGAGATATCTACTGTGGAAGTCAACCAAGACCAGCCAAGTGGTAACAAGCAGACTGTATTCAGAGCTGGCTATTGTAAGGGACTCCACCGCCATCATTTGCATTTAGCAGAGACGCAGGAGTGGGCCGTGGAGTGGGCAAACTTTATAGTGGACAGGAGGAAGTCTGGGCTGTGCCCCGGCCGGAGGCTGCTGCTCTGGAGAAGATGTCGGTGGCTAACTAGAAGCAGGGTATCCTAGCTGACTGGTTAGGAGAGCATTTTCACCTCTCTCTCGTTGATCCTAAGTTGGAAGCAGAGACAAGACTAAGGAACCCATCAGTTATTGATCAAGTCCTGGGCATTTTGGACTGATTGTTCCAGAAGTTATGCTAGCTTCCTGGATTGTGCTAGAGATAGCAATCTGCCTCCCACAAGGCGGACTTGGGGCTAGCGGGCCGGCTTCCCGGGCTGGTTACTGTAGACAGGGGATTGGTTCCCTGCTCAGACGGCTGCAGACATCGTGGGCTAGGGCACTGCTTTTACGATGGCCTGGCCACTCTCTGCTGTATATTCACTCCACTCTGCACAGCGTCTCTGTGCAGTGCCTCGCTCTCACACTTGTGGACCCGTGCGCCCCTCCCAGGGACCACCTGTCTCCGGGTGTCCGGGCCCTAAAACCCGATGAGTCACCTCCTCAGCTTCTTGACCCTCCTCCATCCCCAGCAACCCTATGGTCTCCCACAGGCTTAGTCCTCCTTTCAGATCACACTTCTGAGATGAGCAACATCCATATTTTCAACTCAGACAGAACCACATTTGGAAAGACAGATGTGGGTTTGAGCTCGCACCAGCTGTGTGACTTCCAGCACATTGCTTAACCTCTCTGTTCCCTTGTCTCCATCTCTGCTACATAAAGCAATCACGTCTTTGCCCCAACAAGGTGGGTGAAGAGCTGCAAAAGCGAATTGTACTCCAGCAGTTTCCAAGCGGTCATTTCAGGAGCCGCAGCCCCGGGGAGGGTTCCCTGTTCGTGTCCCTTGGGGATCATGGCGTCCCTGTCCAGCCCCAGGAGCTGCTTGTACACGAGCTTCCTGCACCTGCATGAACTCCTGCCACCAAGTGAGTTCGACCTGGAGGGAGCCTGCTGTCTCTACGACCTGACCCTCCACCACGGTCCTTGTTCCCCGCACACCATTGGTCAGCACTGATGTTTTAACAGACAGCAGCCCAGGAAATGCCTACTTCCAAGACACCCCACCACCCGAATTCCTTCTAAATTGCACCTTCTGTACCCTGTCCCCTTCCTGAATCACCCCTGATGTGATCAGTCCCCCCAGGCCGTGGTGATTCCTGCCCCCTCCCCAGCACGCTGTACCCAGTTACTGTGGCCTTTGCCCCCTGCCAGGATTTCAGAGTCCTTATGCTCTTCATCTCCTCTGCCCTTCTGTTTAAGTCACTCAGTCCCTCCTGCAACCCCCCTTCTGGGTGACACCCCTTTGCCCACGGCTGGGGCTAGGAGATCCTTTGACGCAGGGCTAACCTGGCCCTCATCCTGGCCCCACCCTTTGAGGACGGTCATTAGCTTCAGTCATGGCTGAGCCTCAGGTTTTCCATCTGCAGAGTGCATGGACATTTATCAGCCTCCCCAGAAGCGGGTGAGCACGCCAGCCAGCCAACCCCACGTATGCAGGTCCCATGAAATCGGACACAGGCATTGGCATGAGTTCCCACATGCCCACGACATGGAACAGGGCAGTGCATAATGGGGTCCAGTGCGTGGACACACTTACCCCGGTGCTCCTGGGTCAGAAGGGACGCTGGGTGCAGGAACAGAGACAGAAGAAAGGCTGTCGCCAGGGGGCCCACGGGGCTGGCCGATGGAGAAGGAAGTGCTGCAGGGAGAGAGGCATGTTTTGAGGAAATCGGCTCTCACGGGGGTGCGGGGCTGGGAGCAGGCATCCCAGCGATGTTTTCCTCATCCTTAGGGCGATGTTCACGCTGGGGGAAAAGCATCGCCCCCTGCAGCGTGGTGGCCAGCCTGAGGTCACCGTCAGCTGCCAAGGGGCTGCAGGTTCGGGAACTGAGAGCCTGTCCTGAAGTGTGGGCACGGGGTCACCTTCCTGTCACCGCCTGTCTCCCTCGGTCTGTCCCTTGCAGGAGTAACTCCCTGGCTCCTAGGCACTAAAACGCCGCGCACCGTGGCCGAGGATCAGGTCCCCGTGTGCCATGTGACCGGGAGCGTGTTTCAGTGGACTTCCCACCTCTCCACCCCAAGATGCTGTTCCTCTGTCCCCAGGAAATGGGTCCCCAGTGCCCCGGGGCTCTGCACACGCATTTTACACGCTGTGCTAGAGCAAGCTTCTGCTGACGGTGGGACTACGACAGTTTGGGATGTCATATGTAGAAACAGTAGGCACACAGATCACTTGATTATTCCCTGGTGTATATTTATGAGACATATCTAATTGATAATATCTATCTTTACATACAATTATATATATATATAATATGAGTTACATGTAAGTAATGTCTATTCCTACAACTATGAATGGTTTTATCAACAATACACAGGGACATTTTGTGAACTGATGTGTAGCTTCTCGATGCTGGGAGCTTGTGTATCTCGGACCATGTTCCTCAATGTGTTCACTACGTCATTCTCATCCGACGAGGGAGGTATTGACATGCACAAGAGGAGAGACAGAGAACTGGCCCCTTGTGTGGTGTGTGGGGTCCGAGCGCGACGTGCACGTACAGCCTTTGCAGAGCGGGACCACGCGGGTGGTTTTCTGCCCCCGAAGGAAGATTCCCACTACATCAGCCGTTTCAGAACCTGTGCATTTGATCTCCTATGGTTCTGGAGGTCAGAAGTCCCACACAGTTGCATGGGGCTCAGATTAAGGCGTGGGTAGAGCTGCTTCCTTCTGGAGGGTCCCAACAGAGTTGGCTTCCTCGTCCGCTGCAGCATCTACAGGTGCCTTTGCCCCTGGGCTTGTGGGTCCCTCTCTATCCTGATGGCTTGTCACGCCAACCTCTGCTTCCTTCATCCCATGTCCTCCTCTGCCTTGGACCCCTGCCTCCCTCTTATAAGGACGCCTGTGATGACACGGAGCCCAGCCAGATAATCCAGGACCATCCCCATTGTGAGGTCCTTAACTGAATCATATCTGCCAGTCCTCGACCACATGGAAGGTCACACATCCATAGGGCATGGGGTTGAGGACGTGGACAACTTTGGGGGACATTATTCCATCTTTGGGGACCTTGTTCTGCCCACTACATGGGGATGAGGATGCCGGCATCTTTGGGGAGATTAGTCATTTCTCAGTGACTCTGATGCCCAATCCCCCCTCCAGGGACCATTCTTCTTTCCCCCACCTACTCCAAAGCCTGCGTGACCTCAAAACCAGGAACCGATATGGCCGACTTCTCTCTTCTGGAGAGTCCACTTCCTGAGACGGAGTTTCAGGATCTCTCCCCGACGGCGTGCGTGGGGATTTCTCCTTCCCCCGTGAGCCTTCCCTGTAAACCAGCACGTCCGTCCAGTATGAACCTTGACTGGCCCACGATTCCGGAGGCCTTGAAGCCATGGCTGACCCACAGCACTGATTTTAAGATATTTTGGGGGAAATCACAGCCACTCTGTTTCTCATCGCTCTGACTCTCCCGCAGGAATTGGACTGGATTTTGGGGAGTGGAACAAGAAATGGTGGGTCAGACTTCCACCCTGATATCGGTGGATATTTAGGGCAGTGAAATCCCTCTGCAAGATCCTATAACGGTGGGTATACACCCTTATGTTTGTCCAAATCCATCAATGTGCAACAGCCACAGGGACCCTGTTGCAAAGTATGGGCATTAATCAATAATAATGTGTCAATACTGTCTCATCAGTTGCAACAGATGTAGCACATTGTTGCAGGGTGCTAATAATAGGGGAGGCCATACACAAGGGGAAACGGGTGTATAGGAACCCCCGGACTTTCCACGTAAATTTTCTGTGAACCTCAAACTGCTCCAAAATACAGTTCATTAAACGTGTTTTTAAAAGCACAAGCGCAAAAGTCAAGTGCCCTCATACAAAGCCACCTTCAACGGGACCCTCAGCTTGGGTTTGGGGTGACGGCCCCAGGTCCGAGCCCCCTTCCCCTAATGGCATTTGGGGCTATTCATTCTCCTGCCATGAGGTTCTATGTCCCTGAATGTTTCTATCTTTCCCCACGTGTTTCCTTCCTGCTCACGCCTCACGTCCACACGCCCCAGACAAGCACATCCCTTTTAACGCTTGACCTTTCCTTTGAGGTTCCCTTTGTTTTATGGGACATGATCCTGTTTTCTGCAGTTTCTTCACATTCATGGAGGACACCACCTGAAAGCTGACTTCTTGGTGTATTTGTTTCCTGGGGGCGCAAATTTGCTTCCTACCCTCCTGTGTTCTTCCCTCATAGATGTTTCCTTGATCGATCCCTTCCCTACTTAGTCCTGTGCAGTGTCTGCCCGAGGGACATCCAGTCACCATGCCCCCAATGCCCTCGCACATCCTGTCCTTCTCAGACCCCTGCTCACATCAGTCACACCCTGGTCCCAGGTGCCGACCACCCACCAGCACCCGGCTACCCTGGCCTCTTCCTGGACCCTTCAGCACCTGCCTCGTTCTCTGCCTTATCTGTGGAGTGAAGGGTGGACGGTCTCATCTGGATTCCAAAGCCCTTTCTCCCCCTGGACCTGTCCCACCTTCTCCACCTTCTCCCGGCTGGAGCCCAGTGGTGGAGAATGTGACCACCTCCCCAATCCATGTGCATGCGGGACAACCCTCAGCCTCAGATTCCTGCCTCCCAACGTCCCTGAGCCTGCCTCCTCCTGCAAAAACCTCATTTACTATCAAAGAGGAAATAAAAGCCACGGACCAGACTTATTTCAACTTCCCTTACCTGCCACCCCCTCCACCCCGCCAATCCCTTCTCCGTGCAATGGGGAAGCACGAGCCTTACTGCACCTGTGAGCAGGACCTGCTCCCCCCAGCCTCTTCCCAGGTCTGGTCAGCAGTGCTCAGAGCCCAGGGGCCTCCACGCTGCAGCCCAGAGACCCCATGTTCATCTAAGCCCACTGCACTCTGTCTGCTTGACTTGCCCCCTCTCTGTTCTGCTTTTCACATTTGCAGTTTGTCAAGTGCCGTGCCCGTTGGGCTGAGCTTCCCCTGATCAGGGGGAGAGTGGGCGGTGAGGCAGGGTGACGTGGGGACCGCATTCTGAGGCTCCCGAGGTCGCCATCTGGCCACACGCGCTCTTGGCATCCTTCCACCGGCCTGTGAGCTCGCATCTCCTTCTTAGGCCCTTCCCCCGCACCTGCTGGCGAGATGCCCCGTGGCAAGCGGCCGTGGATGCCCACCCTCTTAGCGGGAATGGGACACCCTACACTATGGCATATGGAAATTTGCCCTCGGCCAGACAGTTCCCCATTCTTCTTCCTCTCAACCCCGCTGGCTTCTTGCTCATCATGATGGAGCAAAATGGCAAACTTGCCTTTAAAAAAGCAACTGAGTCATCCAATACCCCCAAAGCAGCATGCACAGCGGTCCAGAGTCAAACGCTGCTGTTTGGATGAAACCGCTAGTCACGCTGTACGGCTCTTGGCCAAGGACTGTGACAAGCCCTCTGAAGGGCAATTTGGGCGCCGCATGGAATAACTGGCGGGATGATTCATTGGGTGCTGGGGTATGCCATGACTGGGTGCTGTTTACTTCCACACCCATCGGGGCAGCTCCCGGTGTCCACACAGATGTGGCTGGAAACTGGAGTCCAGGGAGGTCTCACTGCTTCTTTCATTTATTTTTGCCTCAACTTAAAAAAAATTGAGGCAAAATTCACATGGTGCCAAATGCACCCTTTTAAAGTGCACAACTTGGCAGCCTTTAGCATTTCTGCAATGTTCCCCCATCATGCGTATCTTGTTCCAGAACATTCTCATCACCCCCTCAAAAGGGGACCCCATCCTCATTAAGCCCCCTTCACTGTTTCCCTGTCCAAAACCCCTGGCAATCCCCAATCTCCTTTCCGTCTCCATGCGCTCTCCATTCTGGGTGTTTCCTATACACAAAACCTCGTATAATATTTTTGCTGGTGGGTTGACTGCCTACCTACTTTCTCTTCTTCTTTCAGTTCTCACCAGACTTGAGTTCTCTTCCTCTTTAGATTTCAGCTTTATATAGATGTGGCCTGGAAGGAAGATGCTGGATTCCATCTCTTAGTGCTTCTCCAAGTCAAGGCACAGGAACCACAGCTCAAATACAGGCTGTGACTCTGCCCGCTGGGTGAGGTCAGAGACCCAAGCGGTGCTGGACTTGGGGACACTTTTGCACGAGGTTAGATTCCCAGCTCAGGCGGGCCTGGGGCATGCGGTCAATGTCGACTTCACGGCTCCGCAGGTGACTGCTGCGAGCTCTGAGATAAGCTACTGTCAGCAGAGTGTCTGCCCAGATTCCCCTTGTGGATGACTGCTTGCATGCACCACTTTCGAATGCATCCGAGCTTGGGGGACCACGTCCAAACCACGTTTCAATTCTCACATGCACAGGCTTGCATGAGGAACTCAGCACGCTTCCCATGCAAGCCGGCTGATTCCCAGGCTAATTCAGACCTGCCAGGGAGTGCCCCCCAGGCTCTTGGAGTCACCGCCTGGGTACCTCCTCAGCGGGCATCCTTCATTGTCTAGCAGTCCCCATTTCCCACCCCCAGGTCCTCACTGACCTGGACCACGAGCTGCCAGCTGTGGAAGCTGACGCAGGAAAACATGCTGTAGTGACCCAACACATTTGAGGACCACAGGACGGGAGCCACCTTACCCCACTGCGCCAGGCTCCCCATCAACCCGCTGTCCTTCGCTGTTCCCTGGGGCTCCAACATTGGGCTCTGACAACCCTCTCCCTGGTCAGTAAGTGAGCATACTGATTACCTTGCAGGGGCATTTCAGTGCAACACTTCCTTTTTTTGTCCTTATTCCCTCCCCCTTCCTGTGGCGCTTTCTCACTACATGCAATTGGGAAACCTGTGTGTGGTCAGTGAGTTCATTGTGAAGCCTATGTCTCCAGCTCCCAAGATAGTGCCGTTTGGATGGCTAAGCTTCAGTGGGAGACATACACACACACACACACACACACATACACTCTCACAACCCCCTCGTGCTGCCTTAAAGTGCTGGGAGAAGCCAAGCACAGAAGACATGTGTTAAGGCACCAGCTCTCGGTGCCAGTGCAAAGCCCGGGGAGGGGATGCTCACAACATGCAAGTTTTCATTGGAACTGTAATGACAGCAAAGGTGAAGGGCAGCTTGGATAGATAAGCGTCTGCGGTTCCCTGGTCCTGAAGGAAGGACTCCCTTCAGCACCAGCAGAGAAGGTCGTCTTCCCTAAAATCTCAAGAGCGCAACTTCCCCAAGTCTACTCCAACCCTGCCACCTTGGAGTCATTTACCCGACCTTCACCAAGCACCTCAGGGGAGAAAAACCTACCGGAGTTGTAGGGAGCAGGTTTGCAGTTCACGCTGGGACAAGGCAGAGCAGAACAGACCTGGGGACTTGGGGCACACATGCAGCTTTGGATGTCCCCTGGGGGGGTTCTCTGCATGAGGAGATGGGAAGAGGGAGCCAGCCAGGGGGCATGGAGGATGTACTGACTCCCAGGGGCATTACGGGACAGGGCTGGTGTGCATGGGCTACAGAGCATTGGGGAGAGTGGCGGGCATCTTCCCATGACAAGAGAGGCACGGATGCAGCCTGGGCTGGAAGGTGACCTGACAGCACATGTGGGTTGGCAGTGTGCCGTGGAAGAGAATAAGGCTCACCGTGGGGCCTGTTCTGAGCAGACTTGACGAACCACCTGGAGAGGTCATGCACACATAACCTTGTCAACGTCGAGGCTGAAGTGAGCAGGTAATCACCGGCCCAGGGCATCCCTCCTGATGGCCGTGTCTGTGCTGGGCACTCCCTAGAGGTCTCGGGAAGCTGAGGAACAGAAGACTGTCCACACAGGAGGACACCTCTGTGACACTCACTAGGGCTTCAGGGTTGGTAAGATTCGGGAATGTTGGTGCCTTATCAGAGCTGCAGAAATAGGAGGGCCTGGCGCAGGTCGTGGACGTAGGGGAGGAAAGGCACTGTTCAATCTTGGTGTGTTTAAGTAATTTCCCGGAGGAACCGTGAAGTGGGACAGCCAGCCGGGAGTTGGAATCAAGGGAGAGATTTGGAGAACTGGTGTGAAGACATTGCACTGAGCTTCTTTCCTGGAAGGAAGGGTTGCCCGTCAGTTATCATTTGAGTGTCTGCAGCATGGAAAATCCCAGAACACACTTGCGTGGTAAAGAGTTAACTCAGCAGACCTGGGTTGTCCACACCCTGCCCATTGCAAAGAAAGGTCTGACCCTTGGCTGACCTCTGGGAGGTCACCTAGGAGCCCTTGGACGTCCCTCCTGATACGAGAGCGTTTGTTTGCCTAGAGCCTCGGGCCAGGCAAGAGATTCTATGCTGCAAAGCGACTTAGGGTAGGGCTTTGGGTCTTGCCACATCAGACCTCTGGAGGGACTGGTCACTGAGGAACTCAGGTCAGTCCTGTGGGTATTTCCACGCTGTGTGACTCTGACCCCAGGCAAAATCCTGGACACCAGAGTTTGGTGAACTTCCCTGGCTGGCAATACACCATGCATGTTGTCACACGTTGTTGCTGGGACAAGGAAGCATGTGCACAGTTCCAAGAGGAGAAGATACCTGTAAGCTCAAGTCTCCGGTCTCCTGGACTTTGTCACAGGCACATTTTGCCTTTCCTCATTTTAATCTGCACCCTTTCATTGTGTTAAGCCAGAACCATGAGTGTAACAGCTTTTCTGAGTCCTGTGATTCTGTTTAGAGAATCGTTGAACCTGAAGGTGTCTTAGGGAACCCGACACAATTCTTATTTACTGCCGTGCAGGCACCAGGTCCGGCCAAGCATGACACACACAGAAAAAGCTTAATAACTAATGAGTTGAACAAGATGGGTTCTGGTGTGGGTAAAATTGTAATATTTCCAGCATATCTCAGCTGGCTTTAGTGCATCTGCATATCAACAGGCATTCCTCAGGGGTGGAGATAAGTAGTCCATCTCCATATCAATGGGTAATTACCTGGGCAACCAAGGGCTTACATGAACCTGAGAGGTTGAGGGAGTGGGGGGCTGGCTTGCTTCTGCTGGAGCAGGAAGGAGAAATGGCCCCAGACCACAGTTTGTAAGCAATCAACGGGTTTTACACTTTATTTCACCTTTTGAGTGATTTCAGTTTTAGAGGTCTTTTGTCCTGGGATTTCCTTTCCCTGGACTTAACACCTGGGACCCGTGCTTTCCATCTTCAGCTATTTGCTCCTGGGCTTTTCCAGATCTGCTCAGAGCTTCCCCCAGGGTGTGGACAAGGGAAGAGAGGGTGAGGGACACCCTGCCTGGTCTTGAGGAGCTTGGTAGGGTCCTACTGCACTGCCTGGGGAGAGCGCGGAGGATCTCAAGGAGAATGGAGGCGGGGGTCAACTGCAGTGACCACGATCCTACTAGGCAGCTGGTGAGGAGACTCCGCAACTTTAACAAAACACACCAATCATCATTTTATTTGGGATGTGGGTTTTTGTGTTTGTTTTTTCCTGATGCAATAATTCGTAACCTTTCTGTAGGCTACGTTCTAAGAATTGGATTTGGAAGTAGGTGGGTATAGCATGGCCATCCAGGAACTCAGAATGCAGGCATTGTAAGCCTGTTCCCCGCAGCACCCATCCATCTTCCTCCACACTGTCACTCCAGCCAAGCAGATGTGGAGGACGTCTCTCAGGGCCTCGGGGCTGGACACCATGGCTGGCATCGCTGGATGAGACAGAAGGCAGCTCCCGTCACGCACTCCAAGGAGCCCATTGATGCCTGACGTGCCAGCAGTGACTCAGAGGCCACTGCCATTTTTGCTGTGTGCCCGCAGCTCATTTCTACGTGATCAAGTGCCTCACACAGCAGATGAAGATGACCTCATACCCTCCTCTTTCATCTATGGGGTGAAGTGTGCAAGAAATGAAACTTAGAAACACCCAGGCCTCCTGAGTGATCCCTTTCCCTTGAAAAGAAAGAAAGAGGACAATTTCTCAGGCGCACATGCTCAACAATCCATCCTTCCTTTGATGGTGGTAATGAATTAGCATCATTCTAAACAGGCAAATGAACAGAACTCTTACATAGGGGCTCCCACATCCCACACTCGAGGTCACCTACTAGGGACCACAGGTTGGTCCAGAATCCGAATCAATCAGGGTTCTCCAGAGAAACAGAATCGGTAGGATGTGTCTGTCAGTAGAAGCTTTATTTTAAAGAACTGGCTCACACAGTGATGGAGACTGCTAAGTCCCAAATCTGCAGGGTGGACCCAGAGGCTGAGACCCAAGGAAGACCGCGTGTTGAAGGTCAAGTCTGAAGGCTGCCTGGAGGCAGAAGTCCTTATGAGCATCCCGCAGCATTATGCGCTGTACCCCTATTGCCACATCACATCATGGACTGTCTGCTCTCCTCACTACTGGGCAGTAATCACCACCCTTTAATCAAAGTACATAACCAGTTCCAGAAGCCCCAGAACCCGTTCAGAAACTTAGGATGGTATTCCTTGAGAGGCACTCTCTGCCTCCAGAAGCTCACGAGTCCCATATGAAAGGGAAGCAAATGCCTGTGTGTACTTGTGTGGAAATAGAGGCACTCTGGGTGCCTGGGGGACCCCTCGGCTGAATCACCATATTGGGGGCATCTGCGGGCAGAAGGCAAAGGGATACGTGTGCTCCAGGAACCCGGAATAGCACAGACAGGAGGCAGTGCCACGCTTCAGGATGCAATGGCTCACGTCCCACAAAATTCACTTAAAGTGTATAATCCACTGGTTTTGGGTAGATTCACTGATGTGTGAAATTGTCACCACTGCCCATCACACAACATTTTTAGCCCATCACAAAGAAACCCCTTACCCCTTCAGTATCCCCACTGTACACTGCCTTCCCCCAGCCCTTGCAGCCCTAACCCACTGTCTGCCCCTATGGATTAGCTTGTTCTGGACATTTTATATAAACAGAGTCACCCCCGGTGAAGTCACTTGTGACTGGTTTAGAAGAAGGCTTTTGAAGTTTATCCAGGTTGTGGCACGGATCACTGCTGCATTCCCTTTTTAAAAATCGAGTTAAAATTCACAAAGCAGAAAAATTAACCATTTAGGGAGGTATCATTTCTGGCATGAGGTACAACTTACAATATTGTACAACCATCATCACTACCTATTTCCAGAAGATGCTCTTCACCCCAAAAGGAAACCCTATAGCTAGTAAGCCATCAATCCTCTTTCTTTCTTCCCCTGCCCCTGGCTATTACTTACCTTCTCCAGCTTCATGGGTGTCCCTGTGTTGGATATGCCCTATAAATGGAGTCATACATTATGTGTCCTTCTGTGTCTGACGTCTCTCAGGGAGCATCATGTTTTCAAGGATCAGCCACATTGTTCTGTGTGTATCAGGATGCCCTTCCTTTTCTTGGCTGAGTAATATTCTAGTACAAGATTGGAACCACACTGTGTTTATCCATCCATCCATGGGCGGGCATCCTTTTGACTCTTGCGTGCAGTGTTGTTGTGGACACATGGTCAACAAGTTTTGCTACGATGTATGTTTACATTTCTCTTGGGTATATGCCCAACAGTAGGCGCGAGGGGCCATATGGAAACTAGAACAGAGGCCAGGTCACAGAGTCTGGAAGTGCCATCACGGGTCAGGGGGCTCAACGTGGGTGAAACAGTCTGGCACCCACAGTAGGAGGACTGCAGGCACAGCTGGATCAAAGGTCTGGGCTCCCCAATGTGGCCATTCTGTGGGGTCCTCAGGATGATTTTCCTGTGGCGGTGGGGGTTTCTGGCAGCCCTC